TTTTAGACTATACCCCCAATAAATACGTACATAGAAATATGCATGCATTTATTCAATGGGGGTATATCTACTCAACTAGTTTTTGTGTTTTTTTCAAGTGTGGAGTGGTCCTTTAAACCAGGAGCACTTTGTAAGAGTGTGAGTGTATTGTGTTAATGTTCCTTACCTGACTTTAACCTTGTTCCTCTTCTGTCTCAGTCGTATCTGTGGTATGCAGCTTTGTAGATTGCTGTTTTTATAATCCTCTGTTCCCATCAAGACTCTATATGTGCCCGCCTTCTAGTGGCCTGGTGTGTTATTAAAATAAATTCATGTGCCTGAAATGACTATAATATGCCCTTTTCTTTATAACATACATTTTGCATGTGGATTTACGGTTCTATCATTATCTGCCTGGCAATTTCTGCTAGTTTTTAAAAGTTAAAAAGTTGCATTTTTGTACCATGAAACATTATTGAGAAGAAAAATTGAAAAGCCATTGTACGTCTGATGGTAGTCTAACAGCTTGAAGAAACAAAGTATCCACACCGACACTGAAATCAAATCTCCTAGAACTCTTGGAAATATTAAATAATACACATTAATTAGGGTTAAAAGACCTAAGTGAATTATAATTATTGTATACCTTAAATTACCTTTTATTTTAATTCTTTAGAAGGGAAACCATGTGTGCCGATGCCTAAATATCTAAATATCCAATCCATGTTGTATAACAGTAAAAAAAATGCTTAATGTAGAAACATACGGTAAGGAGGTTTTGGTGAAGTAGAAATGAATCACTTAAATTGTACTGGGGAAATGAGTCAAATAAAGGGTGTGAAAATGGCCCGAACAGTTTGCTGCAAAACATATACACAATATTAATTAATAGGGGCATTTACCCACCTTTGTATTCACAGATCAAGTGAGAAAATGTAACCAATAGAGGGAGAAATATGAGGACATATCAATAAATAACAGAAACTGAACTGAGAACTGGATCACTTTGTGGTTTAATTGTATCTTCATATCTTCCATCTCTTACAGTGACAGATACAATCACACTTTGGCTGACAGGAAAGGGATAGTTGCCCCCCCAGTCCTCTGCAGTACCATTTTTGTAGGTTCAGGTTTGTAGGTTGCTCTTCTTATTAAAAGGACATTTAGGTGTGTTAGGATATCAGTTAGCAGAGCTGTGCAGGAGCGATGCAGCAGGAATTGCACAGGACATTTGTTATCCAGAGATTTCTGGGATTGCATTTGGGCTGGTGGCCACAAACTCAATGCTTTCCATGCTTGGACTGGCCCACTAGGATATTTTCTGGAAGACTCCCCCCGGCCCCCCACAGAGAAGCAGTCAATAAAAGGTACATCCTCAACTGCCATGCAAAACCCAGGATGTGGAGGGGTGTGTGCATAGCCGATCCTGGGCAGGTAGCACCTAGGCGCTCTGTGAGTAAAGGAGCATTGCGTCGCTAGGCTCTGCTCCTCTCACTAAGTCACACCCTCCTGTCTGAAGGCCCTCAGAGCTCCTGGAAGGCTGGCTGGGCAGGAAGGTGAGCACACACAGGGGAGGGGGGTGGGGTCACAGGAGGGCAGGGGCTAAAGAGGGCACAGAAGGGGAGGGGGCTATGCAAGGACACAGGAGGGGAGGGAGGTGAAAGACTGCACAGGAGGGGGCTAAAGAGTGCACAGGAGGGCACAGGAGGGGAGGCAGGGCTAAAGAGTGCAGAGGAAGGGAGGTGGCTAAAGAGGGCACAGGAGGGGAGAGGGCTAAAGAGGGCACAGGAGGGGTGGGGGGGCTAAAGAGTGCAGATGAAGGGAGGTGGCTAAAGAGGCCACAGGAGGGGAGGGAGGTAAAAGATTGTACAGGAGAGGTGGGGGCTAAAGAGGGCACAGGAGGGGAGGGGGGTAAAAAGGGGACAGGAAGGGAGGGAGGTGGAAAGACAGCACAGGAGAGTAGGGGGCTAAAGAGGGCCCAGGAGGGGAGGGAGTCTACATAAGGGCACAGGAGGGGAAGGGGCTAAAGATGGCCAAAGTTACATAAGGGCACAGGTGGGGTGGGGGCTAAGAGGACAAAGAAGGGGAGGGTAGCTAAAGAGGGCAGGGAGGAGGCTAAAGAGTGAACAAGAGGGAAGGGGGGCTCAGAGTGCACAGGAGAGGAGAAGGGCTACATAAGCGGAGAAGAGGGAAGAGGGGCTAAAGAAGGCACAGGAGGGGAGGGGGCTAAAGAGAATCGCAGAGATGCTGGGGGGGAAAAGGCACACAGATGGGCTGAGATGGGACAAAGACACACAAACAGGGGCTGAGGGGAAATATAGAGACACACAGAGGGGCTGGGAGCACAAAGAGACACACAGAAGGACTGGTAGGACAAAGAGGAACTTAGAAGCACTTGGGGGCAAAGAGATACAGAGGGCTGGGATAGAGGTAAAAGAGACACACAAAGGGGCTGGGGGAGACAAAGAGGCACAAAGAAGGGCTGCGGGATTAACAGACACACAGAAGGACTGGGGGAGAGATGCACAAAAGGGCTGGTGGAAGAAAGGCCAGCCACAGTTGCCAGCCAGCCGGCTAGCCACAGCAGCCAGCCTGCCTGCCAACCAGCCACAGCAGCCTGCCAGCTGGCCATGGCAGCCTGCCAGTCACAGCAGACAGCCAGCAACAGTAATTCAGTTAAGTATCACAGAGCTTTGTTATAGCACTATGTTGTGAATGGGGGCCAGCATTTTAGAGAACACAATCTCCAGGGCCCTTCGACTCTTGTGTAGTATCTAATGAGGTATTGAGGGGACTCTTATTAACATACAGTTTACATATTTGTGGAATATTTTTGAAAACATTAAAAAAAATTGTGGGTGTTTTTTTACACATCCCCTGCACACAGAGACACACTGCATTCCCTGCACAGACGCAGACACACACTGCATCCCCAGCATACACTCAGTCACTATTCACTACACACACTGCATACCATAATGGATGTGGTCGTGTTTTGGTGTGCATGCCATTGATGGGGGTGGGGGTGGGGGGGGGACAGCATTTCATCAATTAATTTGTTTACAGTACACCTGAGGTGGAGTATTGGGCAAGCTTAATTTCAATTATAGGAGGGGTTATCAAATTTATTTTTGGGTTCAAGTCCCTAGTCCACATGGCAACACCCCTGGGGATGGGATAGAACCAAAAGTGGAAGAGAATGGTGAGATAAGTCACACAGGGACATTTAGAAAAATAAACAAACATACTGCTGAAAACAACAATGCATGCGCACATTAGACAAATAAAACATAGAGTAGTATTGCATATTCATTCTTTAACATGCATTCTCACTGGCGTTTCTGGGTGTCTTATACATAATGCCATAATTATTGTCTTAAATATCATTATTTCCCAGCAATATATTTCTAGTTAACATGTAGCGTTCTAGGTTTTTCTAGAAGGTATTTTTCCGAGGTGATTTTAGAGTTTATTCACTAAATAGGGAATTGAGAAAAATGAGCCAGTTTGGAAAAAAAAATTTCAACATTCTCCTCGGCTGCTTTAGCCTTGTGTTTGCAATCTCATATTCAATTCACCGCAGTACAATGTTTAGTGAATATGCCCCAGCTGTAAACACTTTTATTTTTGATGATGATGATAACTATATTACATATCAATTCTATATATCCTCTTGCCTTATGTGACCGTAGTTTATTTTTAATAATTTACAGCATCACAAACTAATGCCGGTATCACAACTTAATTATCCATTGTTATAAGGCTCTGGATATAGGCACTATATATGTAACAAATTGTTAAATAAAAAATGTAAGTTGCCAGTTTATTAGAAAATGGTTGCAAAATTTAAAAAGTGTAACATTGTTTGTGATGATCAACAAACACTGTTAAATAACTGAGTCAAATAATCAAAAAGTGGAAGGTGCTTAGATACAAAAGAAATATATAAAAATGTGCATAAACACAAGATCAATAAAACAAGTGTATAAAATCTAGAAGCACTCTTTACAAAGTGATGTACAACACAAACAAAATACGAAAAAACAAACAAACAAACAATGGTGCGCTCAGAATTATACTTTAATAGATAGTCTTCTTAAAATAATATCTGTGAATTTGCAGTTTGTTTTTAAAGAAGAATAATCATTCTAACTCAGTTGAACATTTACATTCCAGAAAAGTGTAAAAAAAAAAAAAAGAGAAAATGTGTGATTGATAATACATGCCAAAACTAGGCATTTACAAAATGTTTTAATACACCGAAAAACTAAAAAAATAGCGGAACAGCATTTTTTTCATTTATTTTAAAGGTCTTTTTCATTATAGTAGAATTTAGAATCAGCTTGATTAATTTTCCATTCTCTTAAAAGATATGAAATACCACTATAGGCACCCAGACCCCTTCAGCTCCTTCAGCTCAACGAAGTGGTCTGGGTGCAAGGTCCCTCTAGTTTTAACCCTGCAGCTGTAAACATAACAGTTTCAGAGAAACCCAGACCACTTCATTGACTTAATCCAGACTCTAGTGGCTGTCTTACTGTCAGCCACTAGAGACGCTTCCGCGATTCTCAGTGTGAAAATCACAGTGAGAAGACGCTGACGTCCATAGGAAAACATTGAGTAATGCTTTCCAATGGGTGGTTTAAATTGGTGATGACGTCGGCAGGAGGAGGAGAGTTCCCCAGCACCGAGGGAGCCCGGCGCTGGAGAAAGGTAAGTGGCTGAAAGGGTTTTAACGCCTTCAGCCCAGCAGGAGGGGGGCCATGAGGGTGGGGGGGACCTATTAACACTATAGTGCCAGGAAGATGAGTTTGTTTTCCTGGCACTATAGTGCTCCTTTAAATTAAATAAGTGTTTAATTTGCTTTCATATGGTTCAAAATCAGAATGGCATATCAAAGATTTGGATTTTCAAAGTCAGTTCTAAAAGCATATATAATTTAGCTTACCAAAAAACAAACAAATATAACATTTTACTTTCAGAAGACTTTTTCACAACTGTAAATTTAATAATTAATTTAGTTAAATCTCTCTTTCCTTACGAGCTACAATGTACCCAATCTTGCCATAATCCACTAAGTGAGTGTTTAATTTGCTTTCATATACTTCAGAAATCACAGTGGTATACCCATTTTCTTGAAGAACTTCCTTCACAACATCTTCATTGTAGTTTAACATGGAAAACCTGTGATCACCAATTGTATAATAGGTCCCATTGAAAAGAGCAAACAGAATGAGGTGACCTCCCACCTTCACAAGGGATGAGAATTTTCTAAAGCTGTTGCGATAACTCTCATGATCTTTACAGCTGGCTTCAAAGTACCAGGCACTGATTGCACAGTCTGCTTGAGGCAGGACGACGGAACCCAATGGATTGTCATTGGTTGGATCCCATTTTAAGAAATGTTTAACAGTTCTTCTGACTTTCTCTTCCTCAGCATCCAGGAGTTCACTGAAATTCAATAGTTATAATATCATAAAAACTGTAAACGTGTTCCGTAAAGGAATTCATCCAGTTGTTGTTTAATACTTTTTATAAATTAGGTTATTTCTTATTTTTTGAATGAAAACAAGCTCATGCTTACAAATTTACCTTGGGAAACTGCACGTGTGCTGCTCCTCTTGGGAACTGTAAGAGGTAAGTACAAGTTCAAATATTTTGTTTGTCCTTTGCAAGACTACATTCATGCAAGTCTCATTTTCCATCACTAGTTTTTCAGCTTATAAAATAAACGAAAGGACTATGCTACCCCTGCTATGCCCAGCAACGTGGGATAATGAACAAGTGACCAGACAATACAACATGTAACATTATTTGAACAATTGATTGATAATGCATCGTAAACAAAACTCTGAAGTGATACTAAAAATATAAAAACATAAATAAAAACATGACAAAAACCCTATAAAAACTGTAGAATTAAAAACTGGAAGTAATCCAAATAGGTAAAAATGAGTTTTTTGGCTTGTTGGGAATTCAAAGTGAATCCAGTGTGTATTCTAAACTTTAGTCTATTTTTCAGTATTACCTTTTACCTTAAAAATGGAAATTCCCTTTAAATTTATTTTTGAAATGATGACAATTCCCACCTTAGTGAATAACCTTGAACACATTAAAGACACACTACAAACACATAATGCACCTATGCTTACTCATGTGCTTTATGTATGAAGGATATGACCTATTTTTTCTTATTTTACATAAGTTCTCATTTCAATATAAACAAACCTTGTTATACCCCCAGGGCTGTCAGAGCAAGTTATCTTACTTTAAGGTGGTTTAGCTCGGAGGTACAAAACTCCAGAGAAACCAGCCTACCTGTCTTGCTAAGATATGTCAATGAGTTCTGCTACAACACATTGAGAAGTCTGTAATTGAACAGTCATAGAACAGCTTGGGATGGAGCTGGGAGAATGGGAGGGTCTTGCAGTAGCTGCAGATACTAGATCTGCAACTATTGCAAACACAAATGTGATATACCCTCAAAGAAAACATTTCTTTTTTTTTAAATTTTTTAGTGGAGTATTCATTAAGGACTAGCAATGTATCAAAGGGGTTGTAGTCCTGCAATAAGATGGGGATCTGGCAGCATGTAACATAAAATAATAATATTTTTTATCTAGATGATGGGTAGGCAATAGAGTTGAGCAAACCCGAACTGTGATTGCGTCACACAGGGGTGGGGGCAATAGGTTTTTTGTTGTTTTTTTTACAATGAGCAGCCACTGGCTGCTCAATGTTTACTAGACACGCCCCTACTCGCGGTATAGCGAGTAGGGGCTGAATTGACTAATACTAAGTAATCTTTAATTAGTATTAGTAAATGTGGCTGAAAGACCAATTTAGGTCTTTCAACCTTTTGGTAGATCGCTCCCGAATACCATGTGAATTAGGGAGTTATCTACTAAGCGGCTGCTTATTTTATGTTATTTTTAAGTGATTTCCCTATCCACATTTGTTTGCAGGGCACTTGTCCTACTCTTACCCCCATTTTACTTCCTTTTGCAGCCCTCTAGCCCTTTCCAGGAGTTTTTTAGAGCAATTTTTGTGCCCAAAAGTTCCGGTCCCTATTGACTTCAATGGGGTTCGGGGTCAAGTTCAGGGTCAATTTCGATCCTGAACCCGGATTTTTTTTCAAAGTTCACCTGAACCCGCCGGACCCAAACATCCAGGTGTCCGCTCAATTCTAGTAGGCAACCTACGGCACTCCAGATGTTGTGGACTACATCTCCCTTGACGCTTTGCCAGCATTACGGCTGTAGGAGCTTTATGTAAGATGAAGCCCACAATATCTGGAGTGCTGAAGGTTGCCTGGGCAATGCAATAGTCTATAAAAACAGCTGTTATTATGAATATTTTTATGTTAAATATATTTAAATTGTTCTTGTATTCATGGGTAAAGCCCTGTTTGAAAACATTGCCACCAACTAATTTTCTTTTTTGTTAGGTTTGTGAACAGGTAAAATTGTACTTAAAGGACAACTATAGCATTACAAATCCAATCCTATCCCTGTCCTAAGTTGTATTAATGCCTCCAACCCCCATGTATTGTACTTACCTTTTTCCCTCTGCACTGCTCACTTCTCCACCTACCATGGCATCATGGCTTCCTTTGTGGTGGTCCAATTTAATGCTCCTCACAGAAGAGCATTGGGGACCTAATCTACATAAACGGCGAGCACTGCGCATACAATCAAGCTTCCCCGTAGGAAAGTACTGAATTCAATGTTTTTCGATGGGTTTCTGTGTAATGTGAAGGCCACTTGAGTTGGATATAACTCTGCAATGCAGCCATGCCAGTTTCTACAAAGCTGCAATGTTTTACATTGCATGGTTAAAATGATAGGGCACCCATTGAGGATGAAATGGTTTTGGTGACCATAATGTCCCTTTAAAATACACAAAAGTAAAATTAATCTAATCCAGCAGACTTACCTGATACCCTTAAGACCACATGAAATGTGAGCCGCATGAGACCAGTCTACAGCTCCTGGCTCCTTATTCAGCCATTTTTCTGTTTCATTTAGCGTACTGTCTGATGAGTCCAATATGAAGATCTCCTTAAAGAAATCAGCTGCGACCATTAAATGACTGAAGGCTGGAGCCACGGTGAGATCTATCAGAGTTTCTCCTTTCACGGTACCTGAAGGAACACAATGGGAAAAAGTAACTTCTCACATGATACACATCAAATGCATATTTCAGTTCACTGTGTTTAATTATCCGTACAGGATCCAGCAGCCTTGCAGTATCTCCTTAAACCTCAGTTTTATATACACACACGTGCAGGAATACAAAAACTAAGAGAGCCCTCTAGTGGCATTATCAGGTAAGAACTGATGACCAAAGGGTATCAGAGCAGGCTGAGGTCTTTAGATAGGTATATCTCCATTCCAGCTCTCCTACAGGTACAACCATGCAAGCTAAAATGCCACAATGAGAAGTCTTTATGGAAATTTAAAGACCCCACAACTGACAGTGCTCTTTAATACAGGTGAAACTGACAAATATAGGGTAATAAAAGGAATTAAACATGACCATACCTGAGGACAATAACTGAAATATTTTTTGCAGTGGGATTTTCATCAGTTCCTCTTTGGAGTCTGTCTCATCATGACCAACGTACGTTTGTATAATCAAATGATGATCAAACTCTTCATCGTGATAATGTTTATGGTCTATTCCTTCCATCTCAAGTTTTTATATCCTTTAATCAAATTACTAGCACAGAAAAAGAAAATAAATGGCTATTGATACTCAAATAATATGTAACGTGTTTTTTCAAAAATACTGATATTTTCATGCAATATGTTTCTAGTTCCACTGTAGCAGTTTTCATTCACTTTTGTAACCTTGTTTTTGTAATTGTTTCATTCCATCAGTTCAGTATTTATTGAATAAAGCCCAGCTGTAGCTCCATTATTTTTCGATAAATATACCATGCTCCTGTTCTATGATTCCCTGACGTGTGATGATTTATTGTATTACAACATAAGGACTGTATTACAACTTAATACATTTAAGACCCACACTTAAACTTCCACGGCTCCTGGGCGGCATAATAGCCCCAATACATACAATAAAACCAAATAAAAAAGGGTACTTGTGCACTATCCCAAATCCCTATGCATATTTAAATAACTGGAGGTTTTAATATCACTCCAATGGCCATTAAAGTGTAAGCTCAACTGCCACGTCAAGGCAAACCTCTGTAGGTAAGTCCTACGCTAATAATTCACCTTGCTATCTTCAGCCAAAAGGTAACATTTCTAATGAGACAGAAATAGGTATTTTCCTAAACCCCTACATACTTGTTAACCCTTAATGGGAAACACATGGGGTGAGTGGCAGCAAGCTGGTGATCACTTATCACTGTTAAACCTGAGCATTCCGTAAGAGTGTGAGTGCATTGTATTAATGTTCCTTACCTGACTTTAACCTCGTTCCTCTTCTGTCTCAGGGTTGTCTGTGGTATCCAGCTCTGGAAATTGCTGTTTATATACTCATCAGTGTCCATCAAGAATATATAAGTACACGCCTTCCAGTGACCTGGTGTACTATTAACATAAATTCATGTGGCTAAAATTACTATAATATGCCTTTTTCTTTATAACATAGGTTTTGCATGTGGATTTAAGGTTCTATCAGTATCTACCTGGCAATTTCTGCTAGTTTTTGAAAGTTAAAAAGTTGCATTTTTGTACCATGAAACATTATTGAGAAGTTACATTGAAAAGCCATTGTACGACTGATGGTAGTCTAACAGCTTGAAGAAACAAAGTATCCACACCGACACTGAAACCAAATCTCCTAGAACTCTTGGAAATATTAAATAATACACATTAATTATGGTTAAATGACCTAAGTGAATTATAATTATTGTATACCTTAAATTACCTTTTATTTTAATTATTTAAAAGGGAAACCATGTGTGCCGATGCCTAAATATCTAAATATCCAATCCATGTTGTATAACAGTAAAAAAAATGCTTAATGTAGAAACATACGGTAAGGAGGTTTTGGTGAAGTAGAAATTAATCACTTAAATTGTACTGGGGAAATGAGTCAAACAAAGGGTGTGAACATGGGCCGAACAGTTTGCTGCAAAACATATACACAATATTAATTAATAGGGGCATTTACCCACCTTTGTATTCACAGATCAAGTGAGAAAATGTAACCAATAGAGGGAGAAATATGAGGACATATCAATAAATAACAGAAACTGAACTGAGAACTGGATCACTTTGTGGTTTAATTGTATCTTCATATCTTCCATCTCTTACAGTGACAGATACAATCCCACTTTGGCTTATTTGTGCGAAGAATTAGTGTTTGAATGCAGTAATGTGTTTGTCATTTAAACGTGTTTTGTGTGCAATGTTGCTTTTTGAATGCAGGAGTGTGTTTGTGTATATTGTTGGTGTTTGCACGTAGGCATGTATTCGCATGTAGACATACATTGAAATACAGATGCACATTGCCAAGCACAGAAACACAAAAGCATTGGCACAAACAGATACACATCTATAAGTTACAGATACAAAGTACACTGATCAGCCACAACATTAAAAACACCTGCCTAATATTGTGTATGTCCTCCTTGTGCTGCCAATATAGCTCTAATGCATCGAGGCATGGACTCCACAAGACCTCTGAATTCCTCCTGTGGTATCTGGCACCAAAACATTAGCATCAGATCCTTAAAGTCCTGCAAGTTGCGAGGTGGATCAGATTTGATGCTCCCGCACATCTCACAGATGCTCGAATCAAATAGAGATCTGGGGAATCTGAAGGCCAAGGCAACAGCTTGAACAGTTTAATAGCACAAAACACATAAACTGTGCAATTCCCTCTGAAAGTAATTCATGAATAACAAAATTCAGAATACAAGCAACAGGCGAACTCTCAACACCATGTAGTATAAAACGTCACTGTGATGTAAAGCATGAAAAAGGATCAGCAATAGTACCACACGTCTACGTCATTTGCACTGACATTTGCACTGTGCTCACTGAGCAGATTAAATTGTCCCTTGCGCCTAATAACCTTCACAAAATAGACATATGGCTCAAGTAACTCAAGACAAATATATGTATGAATAATGGTATAGAACAGAGGTTGACAACCTTTTAGTAGTAAAAAAAACAAACCAAAAGCATGCAGAGCTGGAGAGCGCTAGTATACTGCAATAAATACACTTACTTTGGTGTCACTCCAACACGCCAATAAATATACTCTGCAAAATGAAAATTAGAGAACATATTGGTAATATATAATCACCATTTTTAAATTATAGTGTTTCTAAACCTTGTTACGATAAACATGGCAGTGAGCCTATTGAATTAATATTTATTGGAATAGAAGTAAGAGACCATTGGAGAGGCATTGATATGGCAAACAACCATACTGGGCAAAAAAAGAGATAAGGGGACAGTAAGGCTAACACTGTGACCCCAAATGGTCTTAATGTTGACTTAGAGATGTAACTTCATTTATTTTCTAGGATTCTTTATAAGTATTTTTATATTTTACAATTTATTTTTCAATTGTATTTTTAAATGCAATTTTAGATAATACTGTAACCGCGGCTGGTTCTCTTATTTACCACTAGAACGTCTTAAAGCATAGAACTTGGTAGGGCTAACCACACAGATATCTTAGCCATCATTTTATATAGTTAGTAAGAGATCCTCTATTTAACATATATAAATAATTGAGAATACAATATAAAATAAGGATTGTCTTGGAAGCAATAAAGTTTTGTCTTTTAGATATTTATTATATAAAAATATAAATATAGACATATAAAATCCATTACAATAATTTATAGCAGAGTTTATAAGATTAAACTAAATGCTTGCAAATCTCATTAATAGGTTAACATTCCCTCCTGAACATGTCATCATGTCAGCCTCTCTGTCATTTTAAGATGGAGCAGCGTCTGTCTCCAAGTCTCTCCACTGTGTCTTAACATTTAAAAGTACACCTATTTATACCTTAGGTGTCTCCATTTTAGGGTCACCGTAGTTCATATATGAAAAAGTAACACTTTTTACTTTATTCATTTTAGGACCTCCCTTAACTTGGCAAATATACAAGGCCATAACTAATATGCGTGTATACGTCATGGAAATTTTCCTGACTTAGTTCAAGATGGCATCTTAAAGTCTGAACATCTTTATCTACTTAAGGTTACCACAGTATATTGTGTACTGAAAGAGTCGTAGCATAGCCTTGAAGGTTGTTTATGCATTATTGTTATTGTAATTCATCTGGGACAAAATGACGCAAACATATTATGCACTGAAGGTAAGTAAGAGGTTATTGCTTAAAGAAACAGTTATGAAAAATTTGTTTCATTTCTAACACCTTGTCAGTTTGCAATATCTCTTAAAGACAAAGTACACAGTTTAAGAAATACAACATTTCATTCTAAAACTTGTAATATTTGCATTTGTCCATAACAGTACCCTTGTCTGAAATACTCCCCCACCTTTTTCATTGTTTTAAAATATATAATTTTATATAAGGCATTTACCTGCTACTATTGCTTTATATAAAGGTTTTATAATTAGGAAAATAGACTTATACCAGTAGATTTTTATTTTAGAATGAAGATTTATACCATTTAAATACTTCACAGTTATGTGAATTATAATATTGAATTATTACTGTACAAGGACTCTATGTAGAAATCAGATAAGATAAGATGGTGCCCCCACCGGTTCCAAAAAAAGAAGCGTAATGACATACTGGCGTTATGCGTCAGTTACTGCATAACGAACGACAAGATGGAGATGTGTGGTCGGAGAGTGGACAGACCCAGAAGAAGTAGCTCATGAAAATCACTCCCAATTGATTTAAAAAGGGAGCCTGTAAAACCAAGTACTGTATGCACTTTGAAAAAGACCCATGAAGGGATGAAACGCGTTAGTATGATCTCTTTCTTATTTGTTTATTTATTTATTTATTTGGAACACTGTGTATTTACTCCATTAATAAAGTTGGCATTATTTACATCAGATCTTTTGGAGCCTTCGTTGTGAAATACAACATACTGAAGTTTAATGTCTAAAAAACTCATGCTCCAAGAATAATGACCAATGGCTTTTAAGCATACGATGAATGTCAAATGCTTTTGAATTGAGTATTAAAAGCATATTCAAATTTAGAACTGATTATTGGCGCTTCTTTATTTTTATCTAACAGGAATTTGTTTATTTTTAAAATCTCTGTATCTAAGAAAAAATGTTGTGATTATCTTTTATCCAGGAATCTAATTTTTAAAAACCGCCACTTGTTTAAAAAACTGATCTTTATCAGTACAATTTCTACATATTCTAATGAACTGGCTTTTTGGAACCACTTCTAACTATTTAGAATGATGTCGACTTTTCACATCAATAAAAAGGCTTGTATCTGTTGATTTCATAAAAAGTTTCTGTCTTGATTTGGTTTTGTCAATTTTATACTTAGAAATACTTAGGGGAGAAAATTAATGAAATATAATTATAGTTAATAAATTGTAGAAAATGATTTAAAACATATGTCCACACCATATGGATTATTGTTCTATATATCGGATCTTTCCCAGTTTTCCATAAAAATATTAGCACCATAAAAATATGTGGTGCACATTGTTGTAACTTATATGTAGAAAAAAAACTCCTCATTAAGACTAAAAAATTGTGATTAAGAATAAAATCAATAGATTTAAGTAAAAATTCACTAAGAAGAGGGTCTATATCTTTTTCCTTTCATGATCTGTTCTTACAGCCTCTATCCCCAATTTGTGATCGATAATAGCGTAGAGAGAGGTAAAATCTATTGTAGCCAATATAACATTTTCCTTACATTCTATTGACTCAAATTCTTGAATAATGTGCTTAGCATCCTTCATATATGACATGGTACTCTGTGCATACTTTTGTGAAAAAACAGTCAATACATTCTTAGAGTTTAGAGGGAAGGGAATTGATGCCAGTAATTATCAGCCTTCCAGATGGTTTCTCTTTTAATTTGTGGATTTTAGTTAAGAAATAAAAAGTCAGTACCTTAGGGGATTCTAAAAACCAAAATGAGTAGACATTATCAATTATTATTCCATTCTTTTTAGCCTCATTCTGTAGATACTTTAATGCTATGTTAAATCATTATTCGGATTATTCTTGAATCTTACATATTTGTAGTGATCTCCTAGTAACCTATATGTTTCTTCAAGGTAATATTCTGTGGACATCACCACCAGACCATCTCCGTTATCATCATTCTTCATGATTATATCTATTCTTTCTTTAAGAATACTTTAATGTTCTGATTTCTTTGTGGGTTAGGTCAGTTTTTTTTCTTATCAAAGTTCTTCTGCAGGGAGTACTCCTATTTTATTATCACTGCAAAAAGTTAATGGTAAGAAGATATACTTGTACCGCTAAATATGTGAGTGAGAGGTATGGTCTTGTTGTGTTTGACCTTTATTTATATTTTAAAGAATGACAACATCAGCTATATAGATAATTTGATGCATCTAACTGCTCTACAAAAATGTGACAACTGGCTTTGGTGAAACAGAAAGGCGACAAAGGTGAGACACATGAAATGCTGTTTCTTTCCCCTCCAGATAAATATCATTACTGTATGTGTTTGGAATATTAAAATAGGCATCTTTTAAATATATCTCAATTATCTAGTCCACTTAGACATCCTTGAGGCAATGCACGTAGTCCACCTTAAATGCTTTTAGGTGACTAAAGGCTGAAAGATTGATGAATCAGAGTTTGTATAGCCGGTTGTTCTGGATTAAAAGCATTTTGCTTGTAAAGTCCAAGGTGTTCCAGGGCACTATCTGGGTTTCACGTTTGTTTAACAACTCTGTCTTTTAAATCCAATAACAATGTCTCTCTGAGGAAAAAAAAAACATTTTCCTGGGAAAATTGAGTTCAATTGGCCTTGCTATTCATTCTATATGATATCTCTGGATAATTTATAAAAACAATTGGGCTGACATAGTTTTGCCCATACAAGAGAAATAAAGATCTGATCAACTTTTGTGAAAAAACAAACAAACAAACATTTTTTGAAAATCACTTACCATTTTGGTATCTGGAACCAACTACTCTCATGGAACCTCTGGCTCTCCATGGCCTGGATCTCTGAAGAAAGATGGTGCTAAGTGGTCTACTTTCACCTAACTGTCCTCTGGGGAGTTAGCCTTTGTTTGTCTTTGACACATATGTCTCAGTTCAGGCAGGGGGACACTACTTTTTCTTCTTTCTCAAAGCTTTCTAAGCTGTATCGAAGGATGTAAAAGTTGTAATATGCCAGCGTAGATCTTTACTAAACATGTCTCCTGAAGGTAGAACTGGTTAAGACACATGATTCTATCCATGGTGGTTCATGGTGAGCAATTACGGTTCACTCTTGAAAAGGATGTCTTTCAATAGATAAATCACTAGTAGTGTTACTCAAAAGGCACAGCAACCATTTTACCCAACATCTGAAAGCATCCTGCAACAGTTTAATTATCCCCATTAAAGGAACTAACATATGTAATTGCTCTAACTTATCGTGAGGGCAAATGTTTTTTGTTTTTTTTTAAGTCTGAAGAGAAGAGGAAATGTGATAGGTGTGGAGTTTTGGCTGTGATGTAACATGGATACTATTTGAAAGTGGATATTGATTGTAATACATGTTTATACAGTATTATGCTATATATCATTTTTAAACAAAAAAAAAATCTTCAGTATGTTTGGAATCCAGTCATCCTGCTACAAATGAATTATAATATATTTATTGGTCCAGAATACCTTTTATTCTTTAATTGGCCCGTTCCACATTTTACCATGTTACAACTTTATGAAATTCTCTAAATGATATTATATCCCAGCATGCTCTGCGTTATAAGTGCTCTGAACAAAGAGACAGATCTCATGGAAGACCTAAGCTTTCTGCTTTTACAAGCACAGACATTAGTGACTGGCATTCTGTATGTCATTGGTAATCAATGTCACATATAATCCCATGTTGAGCTTCTGATATAAGAACAGAATATATTATTTTGCTCTTAATCAGTTAATGACATAATGCATCATCCATTGTTAAGCAGTATAACATGAGAGATGCATCATAAAACCATAAAATAGTATTTGGTAAAGGTTTGCTTTGATTTGTCTATAATGAATTCAGTGTATCTCATTGTCATTAGATCTCTGTCTTATATATTATGTAGAAAAAAAGTGCTAGAAAACAAACAATTAAAATTATTTAATTATTCTATTATTCTATATAGGAACGAGAAATAAGCCCTACACTCAAACTACCACTACTCTATAGTGACGGCAATAAAGGATTATTTGGGGAATTTTTTCTTAATTTTTACATCTCAAATACCCGGCACCTCTCCCCTCCCCCATACACTTAAACACTAGTCCTATCTCACTGCTGCTCTGCTGCGCCCCCAGGAGGCTGTCAGTAATGACAGTTTCCTCTTCTGTTCCTCTTCTGTTCCAGACAAAATTGGCGCATGCACAGCAGTTTTGAACAGAGGGATTGTGGCCTTGCAAAAGGGTGGAATAGGGGTAGGGACAAGAAAAGAAGGAGGTGGAGGTTAGGAAAACTGGTGTGAAAGAGTGCTGTCACTGAGGAGTGAGAGAAGGAAGTTACATTGGGGAGATTTACAATGAGATACTTTGTCAGCTGATACTCACACCGCTGCCTGCAAGAGAAGACGCTGATTACATCGGTCACTAGTGCGCAGATTGTGCTGATGAGGGACGCACATTTTGCCCAGAATTAACATCAGCGAGCCCAGAACAGCTGCCTAAGTCATGTGTACCTGAGGTGCAACTAGCCTGGGGCACAAAATCAAAAAGGCTGCACAGATTGCTACCACCAAAAGCAGAAGTGGTCATGGTGATTGGAGTAATCCTTTAAGAATTTATTTGGTTAATTCTCCCTTTCCTTACGAGCTACAATATATCCAATATGCGCACGATCTATTAAGTGAGTGTTTAGTTTGCTTTCATATACGTCAAAAATCACAGTGGTATACCCATTGTCTCAGAGAGCTTCCTTCACAAAATCTTCATTATAGTTTAGGAAAGAAAACCTGTGATCACCAATTGTATAATAGGTCGCATCAAAAAAGGCCAACAGAATGAGGTGTCTTCCCACCTTCAGCTGGGATGAGAATTTTCTAAAGCTGTCGAGATAATTGGCATGATCTTTACAGGCGATATCAAAGTACCAGATCCGGATGGCACAGTCTGCTTGAGGCAGGATGATGGAACCCAGTGGATTGTCAACAACGTTTCACAATTCTTCTGACTTTATCTTCTTCAACTTCCACTAGTTCACTGAAATTTACTATATCCAATTTATTTTAATATCAATAAAAAATTATGAATGAAAACTTTCTAAATGCACATTGTTCTAGTATTCATTCAATTTCTGTTATATTTGGTCTTATTTTTGTTAGTTAAAAACAAAGTACTTACCTTGAAAATACATTCTTGAGCGAATTTGACATTCACTTCGTGTGTCTTACCTGTCTCCACTTTGTTGAGATTTGTTACAAGCAAACTGTAGGATTAAAAATAATAATTGCCATAATTGTGAGTTTTTTCATAGACATTTTGCCCACAAGCCCATTCATATTTAAGAAAGCCATGTTAATAAGGTCTTAATGTAATATTGCAAACCATTCAATTTGATATAAATATTTTAGTTTTTCACAAGCATTCTTTAATTTCACAGATGTTACCTCGCTTACATGGAGATGTCAAAAAGTTTAATTTATCCTTTGCACAAATTGTTCCAAACTTTGTAAAGTTAATGGAAGTAGGAAGGAATACTCTCTGGCTGTTTGACTGACAGCCAGGGGGGAGTTCCCTAATTGATTTATAAAAGTGCTGATTTCTCATAGAAATCAGCACTTTTATAAACTGGGGTTAAATGAGGATACTTTGAGGGTGCTTTTGGGGTGTGGAGTGGTCCTTTAACTCCTCATCCCTTACAACCTTCCTCCACTGTTGCCCACATACCGTGCTCCCTCCTCCCAAACACCACATCATTTCAGGTATATCAAGATTATCTCCTCACTTCCCCTCAATGTATTTTTCTGCAAATCTTTTAGATCGTAAGCTCCTTTTGGCAGGACATTTCAAACCTAGCATGCTCACCTCAAACCCGTAAATTCACATGACATTTCAATGGCTTGCGACCAGTCTACAGCTCCTGGATCTTATTCAGTCATTTTCTAGTTTCCTCTAATGTTCTGTCCGATGAATCTAAAATGGTGATTTCCTTAAAGAAATCGGACATGACCATCAACTGACAAAAGGCTGCACCAATTGAGAGATAGTGATGTCGCGAACCCGAAATTTTCGGTTCGCGAACGGCGAACGCGAACGTCCGCAAATGTTCGCGAACCGGGCGAACCGCCATAGACTTCAATGGGCAGGCGAATTTTAAAACACACAGGGACTCTTTCTGGCCACAATAGTGATGGAAAAGTTGTTTCAAGGGGACTAACACCTGGACTGTGGCATGCCGGAGGGGGATCCATGGCAAAACTCCCATGGAAAATTACACAGTTGATACAGAGTCTGGTTTTAATCCATAAAGGGCAGAAATCACCTAACATTCCTAAATCACAATCAATATGGATTGACACCTGACATATGACATATTGAAACCTTGACATATGGATTGACACCTGTCCTCAGAGACCCTGATACACACTGACACAGAGCAGAATAGAGACTGTTCCTCCTACATAGGGTCACTTGGCAGATATGGATTGACACCTGTCCTCAGAGAACATGATACACACTGACACAGAGCAGAATAGAGACTGTTCCTCCTACATAGGGTCAGTTGGCAGATATGGATTGACACCTGTCCTCAGAGATCATGATACACACTGACACAGAGCAGAATAGAGACTGTTCCTCCTACATAGGGTCACTTGGCAGATATGGATTGACACCTGTCCTCAGAGACCATGATACACACTGACACAGAGCAGAATAGAGATTGTTCTCCTACATAGGGTCACTTGGCAGATATGGATTGACACCTGTCCTCAGAGCCCCTGATACACACTGACACAGAGCAGAATAGAGACTGTTCCTCCTACATAGGGTCACTTGGCAGATATGGATTGACACCTGTCCTCAGAGATCATGATACACACTGACACAGAGCAGAATAGAGACTGTTCCCCTACATAGGGTCACTTGGCAGATATGGATTGACACCTGTCTTCAGAGATCATGATACACACTGACACAGAGCAGAATAGAGACTGTTCCCCCTACATAGGGTCACTTGGCAGATATGGATTGACACCTGTCCTCAGAGCCCCTGATACACACTGACACAGAGCAGAATAGAGACTGTTCCTCCTACATAGGGTCACTTGGCAGATATGGATTGACACCTGTCCTCAGAGACCATGATACACACTGACACAGAGCAGAATAGAGACTGTTCTCCTACATAGGGTCACTTGGCAGATATGGATTGACACCTGTCCTTCAGAGATTATGATACACACTGACACAGAGCAGAATAGAGACTGTTCCTCCTACATAGTGTCACTTGGCAGATATGGATTGACACCTCTCCTCAGAGACCATGATACACACTGACACAGAGCAGAATAGAGATTGTTCTCCTACATAGGGTCACTTGGCAGATATGGATTGACACCTGTCCTCAGAGACCATGATACACACTGACACAGAGCAGAATAGAGATTGTTCTCCTATATAGGGTCACTTGGCAGATATGGATTGACACCTGTCTTCAGAGATCATGATACACACTGACACAGAGCAGAATAGAGACTGTTCCCCTACATAGGGTCACTTGGCAGATATGGATTGACACCTGTCTTCAGAGATTATGATACACACTGACACAGAGCAGAATAGAGAGTGTTCCTCCTACATAGAGTCACTTGGCAGATATGGATTGACACCTGTCCTCAGAGCCCCTGATACACACTGACACCGAGCAGAATAGAGAGTGTTCCTCCTACATAGAGTCACTTGGCAGATATGGATTGACACCTGTCCTCAGAGACCATGATACACACTGACACAGAGCAGAATAGAGATTGTTCTCCTATATAGGGTCACTTGGCAGATATGGATTGACACCTGTCTTCAGAGATCATGATACACACTGACACAGAGCAGAATAGAGACTGTTCCCCTACATAGGGTCACTTGGCAGATATGGATTGACACCTGTCTTCAGAGATTATGATACACACTGACACAGAGCAGAATAGAGACTGTTCCCCTACATAGGGTCACTTGGCAGATATGGATTGACACCTGTCCTCAGAGCCCCTGATACACACTGACACAGAGCAGAATAGAGACTGTTCCTCCTACATAGGGTCACTTGGCAGATATGGATTGACACCTGTCCTCAGAGTCCATGATACACACTGACACAGAGCAGAATAGAGAATGTTCCCCTACATAGGGTCACTTGGCAGATATGGATTGACACCTGTCCTTAGAGCCCCTGATACACACTGACATAGAGCAGAATAGAGACTGTTCCTCCTACATAGGGTCACTTGGCAGATATGGATTGACACCTGTCCTCAGAGACCATGATACACACCGACACAGAGCAGAATAGAGACTGTTTCCCCTACATAGGGTCACTTGGCAGATATGGATTGACACCTGTCCTCAGAGCCCCTGATACACACTGACACAGAGCAGAATAGAGACTGTTCCTCCTACATAGGGTCACTTGGCAGATATGGATTGACACCTGTCCTCAGAGATCATGATACACACAGACACAGAGCAGAATAGAGACTGTTCCTCCTACATAGTGTCACTTGGCAGATATGGATTGACACCTCTCCTCAGAGACCATGATACACACTGACACAGAGCAGAATAGAGATTGTTCTCCTACATAGGGTCACTTGGCAGATATGGATTGACACCTGTCTTCAGAGCCCCTGATACACACTGACACAGAGCAGAATAGAGAGTGTTCCTCCTACATAGAGTCACTTGGCAGATATGGATTGACACCTGTCCTCAGAGACCATGATACACACTGACACAGAGCAGAATAGAGATTGTTCTCCTACATAGGGTCACTTGGCAGATATGGATTGACACCTGTCTTCAGAGATCATGATAAACACTGACAGAGAGCAGAATAGAGACTGTTCCCCTACATAGGGTCACTTGGCAGATATGGATTGACACCTGTCTTCAGAGATTATGATACACACTGACACAGAGCAGAATAGAGACTGTTCCCCTACATAGGGTCACTTGGCAGATATGGATTGACACCTGTCCTCAGAGCCCTTGATACACACTGACACAGAGCAGAATAGAGACTGTTCCTCCTACATAGGGTCACTTGGCAGATATGGATTGACACCTGTCCTCAGAGTCCATGATACACACTGACACCGAGCAGAATAGAGAGTGTTCCTCCTACATAGAGTCACTTGGCAGATATGGATTGACACCTGTCCTCAGAGACCATGATAAACACTGACACAGAGCAGAATAGAGACTGTTCCCCTACATAGGGTCACTTGGCAGATATGGATTGACACCTGTCTTCAGAGATTATGATACACACTGACACAGAGCAGAATAGAGATTGTTCTCCTATATAGGGTCACTTGGCAGATATGGATTGACACCTGTCCTCAGAGATCATGATACACACTGACACAGAGCAGAATAGTGACTGTTTCCCCTACATAGGGTCACTTGGCAGATATGGATTGACACCTTTCCTCAGGGACCATGATACACACTGACACAGAGCAGAATAGAGACTGTTCCCCCTACATAGGGTCACTAGGCAGATATGGATTGACACCTGTCCTCAGAGCCCCTGATACACACTGACACAGAGCAGAATAGAGATTGTTCCTCCTACATAGGGTCACTTGGCAGATATGGATTGACACCTGTCCTCAGAGACCATGATACACACTGACACAGAGCAGAATAGAGACTGTTCCCCCTACATAGGGTCACTTGGCAGATATGGATTGACACCTATCCTAAGGATCCCTGATACATACTGACACAGAGCAGAATAGGGAATATTCACTATGCCAAACATTGTTATACAGGGGAATATTCAGTAAATAAGGCTAAGGGGGGACCTACTGTCCTCCCCCCCGGCCCCCACCCCTGCACGGTGGGTGGGGGCCATAAATCTCAATGGGGGGGGACCTACTGTCCTCCCGCCCGCCCCCACCCGTGAGCGGTGGGTGGGGGCCATAAAAATAATGAGGGGGGGACCTACTGTATGATGTTGTATCGATCAGGTAGTGTAAGGGTTACGCCCACTTCACAGTGACAGACCAAACTCCCCGTTTAACGCACCGCAAACAACCGCAAACAGTCCATTTGCACAACCGCAAACTCCCCATTTGCACAAGGTTGGATACCAAGCTAGCCATGTCCCGTTCCTTGTCCTCACTGATGTCATTGAAGGTCTCTTCCTCCACCCAGCCACGTACAACACCAAGGGTCCCCGAAAGGTGACAACAAGCCCCCTGGGACGCCTGCTGTGTTTGGTCTTCCACCTCCTCAAAGCCACCTTCCTCCTCTGACTCCTCTTCTTCAGACTCCTCTCTCTGCATTGCCTCTCTCTGCGTTATTATAAGGTGTGTTAAGTAGTATTATTCCTATCAGTTTAATCCCTGTTACGTCCCCTATCCGTTGATGTGGAGCAAGACGCAGCAGCAGAAGAGGACTCAGCCGAGGAGGTTATGGAAGAGGATGGAGTAGGAGGAGTAGAGGAGGTGGCAGCAGGCCTGCCTGCAAGTCGTGGCGGTGTCACCAACTCCTCTGCAGAGCCACACATTCCATGCTTGGCAGCCGTCAGCAGGTTTACCCAATGCGCAGTGTAGGGGTGGCCTGCCTCTGCCTGTCATTTTTTTTTCGATTAGTGGTACTATGCGTGCAAGCTACTGTGACACCAGATATGAGTGGCACTGTGAACTGGCAGAGGTTGGCAGAGTACACGCTGTAGGGCTGACACACCCGCTTTGAGACAACTAACTGCTATTCAATCCATAACAGTGAAAAAAGTTTTTTGGTTTTTAAATGCACGCTATTGTGACACCAGTGAGTGAGTGGTGGCACTGGGCACAGTATCCACTGTGAGCCTGACACACCCGCTTTGAGACAACTAACTGCTATTCAATCTATAACAGTGAAAAAAGTGTTTTGGTTTTTAAATGCACGCTATTGTGACACCAGTGAGTGAGTGGTGGCACTGGGCAAGTGGGCACAGTATACACTGCGAGCCTGACACACAGACGCTTGCAGACAACTAACTGCTATTCAATCTATAACAGTGAAAAAAGTTTTTGGGTTTTTAAATGCACGCTATTGTGACACCAGTGAGTGAGTGGTGGCACTCTGCACAGTATCCACTGTGAGCCTGACACACCCGCTTTGAGACAACTAACTGCTATTCAATCTATAACAGTGAAAAAAGTTTTTTGTTTTTAAATGCAAGCTATTATGACACCAGATATGAGTGGCACTGTGAACTGGCAGAGTGCACGCTGTAGGGCTGACACACCCGCTTTGAGACAACTAACTGCTATTCAATCTATAACAGTGAAAAAAGTTTTTTGGTTTTAAAATGCACGCTATTGTGACACCAGATAAGAGTGGCACTGTGAACTGACAGAGTACACGCTGTAGGGCTGACACATCCGCTTTGAGACAACTAACTGCTATTCAATCTATAACAGTGAAAAAAGTTTTTTGTTTTTAAATGCAAGCTATTGTGACACCAGTGAGTGAGTGGTGGCACTGGGCACAATATCCACTGTGAGCCTGACACAGAAGCTGGCAGACAACTAACTGCAATTACATTATACAGAAAAAAAAAAAGCAGACTGATGTTCTAGCCCTAAAAAGGGCTTTTTGGGGTGCTGTACTTACAGCAGAGATCAGATGAGTCCTTCAGGACTGTAGTGGACACTGTATACCCTAACCTAGCTATGCATTTCCCTATCTAATCAACAGCAGCTACACTTTCCCTCCTCTCACTAAGCATGCAGCTTGAGAATGAATGTAAAATGGATGCTGTCCAGTAGGTGGGAGGGTCTGCTAGGGAGGGTGTGCTGCTAATTGGCTGGAATGTGTCTGCTGACTGTGAGGTACAGGGTCAAAGTTTACTCAATGATGACGAATAGGGGCCGGATCGAACCGCGCATATGTTCGCCCGTCGTGGCGAACGCGAACATGCTATGTTCGCCAGGAACTATTCGCAGGTGAACCATTCGGTGCATCACTAGTCCATAGACCGTATTTGCAATGTAGTTTTATTCTGATCGTCCAGTAGTATATTACTTATGTAACTATAGACAGTTCTACGATTCAACAGTCTCACTTTTCCTATAGTTTACCCTCATGGAATTGTACTCTTGCTGCTTTACTACATAACTTATCCCTCTCCGCTACACCTAGCTAGCCTAGCATTTTTATCTGAGGCTCTGAGAATATTTTTTATCCAGACCTCGTTTCATGTGTACCTTGACTAGTAGCATGTTATGACTGACTTAGACTGTGCTCTTTTTCGTTATTTTTCAAAAAATCTGTGCCAAAATATTGAATGTGACGCACTGCAAAGATGTAACTCTTTGTATACCATGACATTGCTGTTGTGGTATTATAAGGATGTTTGTTATGTTGTACGCAAAAAACAATAAAGAATGACAAAAAAATAAACTCCCCACAGTGCAAGCAGAAACAGACTTCACTCTGGATTTCTACAGGTACCCATAACAATGAATGTGGTTTCAAACATAGCTTTTTTAAATCATAGCATTAAAGGACACACTAAGCACCAAAACAACTTTGGCTTAATTAAGTGGTTTTGGTGTATAGATAGAAAGTTGTGGGCTCTCCACGTGGCATGGAGGACCACATGTCTGTAGTGATATGTAGCATGGCCGAAAGGGTGGTACTCTGACTCTGCACTCCCTTAGGAGGAGTGTGGAGGGATTGCAGAGCTCCAGCAAATCCTGTTTGGCACAACTTCAGATCAACAGCAGAACCTGCATTAAAGGTAGGTAGAGGAATATGGTGCCTGGGTGGGAGAAAAAAGCTTTGAGAGAAGGTATGTGGAGCTAGGTTGGGGGAGTGGAAGAGAGAGAAACAATTGGGGACAGAAATTGAAAGTCATGTTTCAGTGTTTACAGATGACACAAAACTATTGGGGATGAAATTGAATGTAGAAAAATGCAAAGTTATGCACTTTGAGAAAATAATGCACAAACAACTTACACCCTTACATGTCACTACTAATAGAAATACATAGCAAACACACATAAGCAAATGAGTCAGTTCATGGCTTTAATAGGTCACTTTATTGTAATTAATCCAAGTTTATTTATTACAGTATTAACCCCTTCACTACTGAGCACTTTTTGATTGAATAAATATCAGCACAACATATATTAAAGCGAGTATACAGTGTCCTTTATCTTGCAATCTTTCACACAGAGTCTGAAATATTAGTATAAAAGCAAAAAGGCAATTTTTCTCACACACATTGATTATAAGTATTTGTAAGGACCCTGAAAGAATTAGTAGAAGTACAGCTTAAAATTGCAACAAAAACTTGTAAAATAAATGTCTGCATTTGAGCATAATTCACCTCCAGGAGGCTGTCAGCAATGACAGTTTCCTCTTCTGTTCCAGACAAAATTGGCGCATGCACAGCAGTTTTGAACAGAGGGATTGTGGCCTTGCAAAAGGGTGGAATAGGGGTAGGGACAAGAAAAGAAGGAGGTGGAGGTTATGAAAACTGGCGTGAAAGAGTGCTGTCACTAGGGAGGGAGAGAAGGAAGTTACATTGGGGAGATTTACAATGAGATACTTTGTCAGCTGATACTCACACCGCTGCCTGCAAGAGAAGACGCTTATTACATCTGTCACCAGTGCGCAGATTGTACTGACGAGCAGGGCCGGCTCGTCCATAAGGCGGCACAAGCGGCCGCTTTAAGGCGCATGAGCAGGAGGGTGCAAAAATCCGAATCCCCTGCCTCTGTCTGGGGACTCTGAGTTTTCAACTCACCTTACTCTCCCTGCAGCCAGTGGAATCGGCCGGCCCATCGTGATGATGTCAGGAGGAGGGGGCGTGACATCCACTGCTCTTCTCCCAGACCGCTGGGAGGTCTGGGAGAAGAGCAGTGTAAGTCGCGCCCCCTCCTCCTGACATCATCAGGAGAGTCCGGCCGACTTCACTGGCTGCAGGCTCCAGGCAGCCCCAGGCTGCAGATCCTGTCCCCCCCTCCCTGGCCCAATGTAAGCTTCAGGGAGGGGGTAATGTTTTTTTTTTTAAGCAGCCCCACCACAGCCCCTGTCCCCCTTCTTTACAGCCCATGTGCCAGCTCCTGCCCCCCATTTCAATTCCTGTCCCCCCTTTTAGCTCCTGTCCCCCGTCTACAGCCCCTGTGTCCCCCTCTATAGCAGCTGCCACCCCTCTCAGATCCTGACTCCCCCTATCAGACCCTGACACCGCTGACAGCCCCTGTACCCCCCCTCACAGCCCCTGTACCCCCTCACAGCCATTATCCCCTCTCACAGGATCTGTCCTCCCTCACAGCCCTTGTCTCCCCTCACAGTCCCGATCTCCCCTCTCAGCCCCTGGCCCCCTTCATCCTCTGTCCCCCTCTACAGCCCCTGTGTCCCCCTCTATGGCCCCTGTGTCCCCCTCTACAGCCCATGTGGTCCTCTCAGCTGCTGTCTGACCCTGTAAGCTCCTGTCCCCCTCTCATCCCCTGCCCCCTCTCTACAGCCAATGTGCCCCCCTCTATAGCAGCGGTCTACTCCCTCAGCTCTTGTATCTCCTCTGCCCCCCCCCCTAGCACCTGTTTCACCCTCTTAGCACCTGTCCCACCCTCACAGCTATTGTCCCCCCCTCACAGCCCCTGTCCCTCCCCTAGCAGCGCTCTCCAGAACAGCTGCCTAATATGTGTTTACCTAGGGTGCCACTAGCCTGGGGCACAAAAGCAGAAATGCTGCACTTAACAAATTGCTAATACCATGATCACTTCTAAAAGCAGAAGTGGTCGTAGTGATTGGAGTAATCCTTTAAGAATTAATTTGGTTAATTCTCCCTTTCCTTACGAGCTACAATGTATCCAATATGTTCATGATCTATTAAGTGAGTGTTTAGTTTGCTTTCATATACGTCAAAAATCACAGTGGTATACCCATTGTCTCAGAGAGCTTCCTTCACAAAATCTTCATTATAGTTTAGGAAAGAAAACCTGTGATCACCAATTGTATAATAGGTTGCATCAAAAAAGGCCAACAGAATGAGGTGTCTTCCCACCTTCAGCTGGGATGAGAATTTTCTAAAGCTGTCGAGATAATTGGCATGATCTTTACAGGCGATATCAAAGTACCAGATCCGGATGGCACAGTCTGCTTGAGGCAGGATGATGGAACCCAGTGGATTGTCAACAACGTTTCACAATTCTTCTGACTTTATCTTCTTCAACTTCCACTAGTTCACTGAAATTTACTATATCCAATTTATTTTAATATCAATAAAAAATTATGAATGAAAACTTTCTAAATGCACATTGTTCTAGTATTCATTCAATTTCTGTTATATTTGGTCTTATTTTTGTTAGTTAAAAACAAAGTACTTACCTTGAAAATACATTCTTGAGCGAATTTGACATTCACTTCGTGTGTCTTACCTGTCTCCACTTTGTTGAGATTTGTTACAAGCAAACTGTAGGATTAAAAATAATAATTGCCATAATTGTGAGTTTTTTCATAGACATTTTGCCCACAAGCCCATTCATATTTAAGAAAGCCATGTTAATAAGGTCTTAATGTAATATTGCAAACCATTCAATTTGATATAAATATTTTAGTTTTTCACAAGCATTCTTTAATTTCACAGATGTTACCTCGCTTACATGGAGATGTCAAAAAGTTTAATTTATCCTTTGCACAAATTGTTCCAAACTTTGTAAAGTTAATGGAAGTAGGAAGGAATACTCTCTGGCTGTTTGACTGACAGCCAGGGGGGAGTTCCCTAATTGATTTATAAAAGTGCTGATTTCTCATAGAAATCAGCACTTTTATAAACTGGGGTTAAATGAGGATACTTTGAGGGTGCTTTTGGGGTGTGGAGTGGTCCTTTAACTCCTCATCCCTTACAACCTTCCTCCACTGTTGCCCACATACCGTGCTCCCTCCTCCCAAACACCACATCATTTCAGGTATATCAAGATTATCTCCTCACTTCCCCTCAATGTATTTTTCTGCAAATCTTTTAGATCGTAAGCTCCTTTGGGCAGGACATTTCAAACCTAGCATGCTCACCTCAAACCCGTAAATTCACATGACATTTCAATGGCTTGCGACCAGTCTACAGCTCCTGGATCTTATTCAGTCATTTTCTAGTTTCCTCTAATGTTCTGTCCGATGAATCTAAAATGGTGATTTCCTTAAAGAAATCGGACATGACCATCAACTGACAAAAGGCTGCACCAATTGAGAGATAGTGATGTCGCGAACCCGAAATTTTCGGTTCGCGAACGGCGAACGCGAACGTCCGCAAATGTTCGCGAACCGGGCGAACCGCCATAGACTTCAATGGGCAGGCGAATTTTAAAACACACAGGGACTCTTTCTGGCCACAATAGTGATGGAAAAGTTGTTTCAAGGGGACTAACACCTGGACTGTGGCATGCCGGAGGGGGATCCATGGCAAAACTCCCATGGAAAATTACACAGTTGACGTAGAGTCTGGTCTTAATCCATAAAGGGCATAAATCACCTAACATTCCTAAATCACAATGGATATGGATTGACACCTGACATATTGAAACCTTGACATATGGATGGACACCTGTCCTCAGAGACCCTGATACACACTGACACAGAGCAGAATAGAGACTGTTCTCCTACATAGGGTCACTTGGCAGATATGGATTGACACCTGTCCTCAGAGAACATGATACACACTGACACAGAGCAGAATAGAGACTGTTCCTCCTACATAGTGTCAGTTGGCAGATATGGATTGACACCTGTCCTCAGAGATCATGATACACACTGACACAGAGCAGAATAGAGACTGTTCCTCCTACATAGTGTCACTTGGCAGATATGGATTGACACCTCTCCTCAGAGACCATGATACACACTGACACAGAGCAGAATAGAGATTGTTCTCCTACATAGGGTCACTTGGCAGATATGGATTGACACCTGTCTTCAGAGCCCCTGATACACACTGACACCGAGCAGAATAGAGAGTGTTCCTCCTACATAGAGTCACTTGGCAGATATGGATTGACACCTGTCCTCAGAGACCATGATACACACTGACACAGAGCAGAATAGAGATTGTTCTCCTATATAGGGTCACTTGGCAGATATGGATTGACACCTGTCTTCAGAGATCATGATACACACTGACACAGAGCAGAATAGAGACTGTTCCTCCTACATAGGGTCACTTGGCAGATATGGATTGACACCTGTCTTCAGAGATCATGATACACACTGACACAGAGCAGAATAGAGACTGTTCCCCTACATAGGGTCACTTGGCAGATATGGATTGACACCTGTCCTCAGAGCCCCTGATACACACTGACACAGAGCAGAATAGAGACTGTTCCTCCTACATAGGGTCACTTGGCAGATATGGATTGACACCTGTCCTCAGAGCCCTGATACACACTGACACAGAGCAGAATAGAGACTGTTCCCCCTACATAGGGTCACTTGGCAGATATGGATTGACACCTGTCCTCAGAGACCATGATACACACTGACAGAGAGCAGAATAGAGACTGTTCCCCCTACATAGGGTCACTTGGCAGATATGGATTGACACCTGTCCTCAGAGCCCCTGATACACACTGACAGAGCAGAATAGAGACTGTTCCTCCTACATAGGGTCACTTGGTAGATATGGATTGACACCTGTCCTCAGAGACCATGATACACACTGACACAGAGCAGAATAGAGACTGTTCTCCTACATAGGGTCACTTGGCAGATATGGATTGACACCTGTCCTCAGAGACCATGATACACACTGACACAGAGCAGAATAGAGACTGTTCCCCCTACATAGGGTCACTTGGCAGATATGGATTGACACCTGTCCTCAGAGATCATGATACACACTGACACAGAGCAGAATAGTGACTGTTTCCCCTACATAGGGTCACTTGGCAGATATGGATTGACACCTTTCCTCAGGGACCATGATACACACTGACACAGAGCAGAATAGAGACTGTTCCCCCTACATAGGGTCACTAGGCAGATATGGATTGACACCTGTCTCAGAGCCCCTGATACACACTGACACAGAGCAGAATAGAGACTGTTCCTCCTACATAGGGTCACTTGGCAGATATGGATTGACACCTGTCCTCAGAGACCATGATACACACTGACACAGAGCAGAATAGAGACTGTTCCCCCTACATAGGGTCACTTGGCAGATATGGATTGACACCTATCCTAAGGATCCCTGATACACACTGACACAGAGCAGAATAGGGAATATTCACTATGCCAAACATTGTTATACAGGGGAATATTCAGTAAATAAGGCTAAGGGGGGACCTACTGTCCTCCCCCCCGGCCCCCACCCCTGCACGGTGGGTGGGGGCCATAAATCTCAATGGGGGGGGACCTACTGTCCTCCCGCCCGCCCCCACCCGTGAGCGGTGGGTGAGGGCCATAAAAATAATGAGGGGGGGGACCTACTGTATGATGTTGTATCGATCAGGTAGTGTAAGGGTTACGCCCGCTTCACAGTGACAGACCAAACTCCCTGTTTAACGCACTGCAAACAACCGCAAACAGTCCATTTGCACAACCGCAAACTCCCCATTTACACAAGGTTGGATACCAAGCTAGCCATGTCCCGTTCCTTGTCCTCACTGATGTCATTGAAGGTCTCTTCCTCCACCCAGCCACGTACAACACCAAGGGTCCCCAAAAGGTGACAACAAGCCCCCTGGGATACCTGCTGTGTTTGGTCTTCCACCTCCTCAAAGCCACCTTCCTCCTCTGACTCCTCTTCTTCAGACTCCTCTCTCTGCATTGCCTCTCTCTGCGTTATTATAAGGTGTGTTAAGTAGTATTATTCCTATCAGTTTAATCCCTGTTACGTCCCCTATCCGTTGATGTGGAGCAAGATGCAGCAGCAGAAGAGGACTCAGCCGAGGAGGTTATGGAAGAGGATGGAGTAGGAGGAGTAGAGGAGGTAGCAGCAGGCCTGCCTGCAAGTCGTGGCGGTGTCACCAACTCCTCTGCAGAGCCACACATTCCATGCTTGGCAGCCGTCAGCAGGTTTACCCAATGCGCAGTGTAGGGGTGGCCTGCCTCTGCCTGTCATTTTGTTTTCGATTAGTGGTACTATGCGTGCAAGCTACTGTGACACCAGATATGAGTGGCACTGTGAACTGGCAGAGGTTGGCAGAGTACATGCTGTAGGCCTGACACACCAGCTTGAAGACAACTAACTGCTATTCAATCTATAACAGTGAAAAAAGTTTTTTGTTTTTAAATGCAAGCTATTGTGACACCAGTGATTGAGTGGTGGCACTGGGCACAGTATCCACTGTGAGCCTGACACACCCGCTTTGAGACAACTAACTGCTATTCAATCTATAACAGTGAAAAAAGTTTTTTGTTTTTAAATGCACGCTATTGTGACACCAGTGAGTGAGTGGTGGCACTGGGCAAATGGGCACAGTATACACTGCGAGCCTGACACACAGACGCTTACAGACAACTAACTGCTATTCAATCTATAACAGTGAAAAAAGTTTTTTGTTTTTAAATGCAAGCTATTGTGACACCAGTGAGTGAGTGGTGGCACTGGGCACAGTATCCACTGTGAGCCTGACACACCAGCTTTGAGACAACTAACTGCTATTCAATCTATAACAGTGAAAAAAGTTTTTTGTTTTTAAATGCAAGCTATTATGACACCAGATATGAGTGGCACTGTGAACTGGCAGAGTGCACGCTGTAGGGCTGACACACCCGCTTTGAGACAACTAACTGCTATTCAATCTATAACAGTGAAAAAAGTTTTTTGGTTTTAAAATGCATGCTATTGTGACACCAGATAAGAGTGGCACTGTGAACTGACAGAGTACACGCTGTAGGGCTGACACATCCGCTTTGAGACAACTAACTGCTATTCAATCTATAACAGTGAAAAAAGTTTTTTGTTTTTAAATGCAAGCTATTGTGACACCAGTGAGTGAGTGGTGGCACTGGGCACAATATCCACTGTGAGCCTGACACAGAAGCTGGCAGACAACTAACTGCAATTACATTATACAGAAAAAAAAAAAAGCAGACTGATGTTCTAGCCCTAAAAAGGGCTTTTTGGGGTGCTGTACTTACAGCAGAGATCAGATGAGTCCTTCAGGACTGTAGTGGACACTGTATACCCTAACCTAGCTATGCATTTCCCTATCTAATCAACAGCAGCTACACTTTCCCTCCTCTCACTAAGCATGCAGCTTGAGAATGAATGTAAAATGGATGCCTTCCAGTAGGTGGGAGGGTCTGCTAGGGAGGGTGTGCTGCTAATTGGCTGGAATGTGTCTGCTGACTGTGAGGTACAGGGTCAAAGTTTACTCAATGATGACGAATAGGGGCCGGATCGAACCGCGCATATGTTCGCCCGTCGTGGCGAACGCGAACATGCTATGTTCGCCAGGAACTATTCGCAGGTGAACCATTCGGTGCATCACTAGTCCATAGACCGTATTTGCAATGTAGTTTTATTCTGATCGTCCAGTAGTATATTACTTATGTAACTATAGACAGTTGTACGATTCAGCAGTCTCACTTTTCCTATAGTTTACCCTCATGGAATTGTACTCTTGCTGCTTTACTACATAACTCATCCCTCTCCGCTACACCTAGCTAGCCTAGCATTTTTATCTGAGGCTCTGAGAATATTTTTTATCCAGACCTCGTTTCATGTGTACCTTGACTAGTAGCATGTTATGACTGACTTAGACTGTGCTCTTTTTCGTTATTTTTCAAAAAATCTGTGCCAAAATATTGAATGTGACGCACTGCAAAGATGTAACTCTTTGTATACCATGACATTGCTGTTGTGGTATTATAAGGATGTTTGTTATGTTGTACGCAAAAAACAATAAAGAATGACAAAAAAATAAACTCCCCACAGTGCAAGCAGAAACAGACTTCACTCTGGATTTCTACAGGTACCCATAACAATGAATGTGGTTTCAAACATAGCTTTTTTAAATCATAGCATTAAAGGACACACTAAGCACCAAAACAACTTTGGCTTAATTAAGTGGTTTTGGTGTATAGATAGAAAGTTGTGGGCTCTCCACGTGGCATGGAGGACCACATGTCTGTAGTGATATGTAGCATGGCCGAAAGGGTGGTACTCTGACTCTGCACTCCCTTAGGAGGAGTGTGGAGGGATTGCAGAGCTCCAGCAAATCCTGTTTGGCACAACTTCAGATCAACAGCAGAACCTGCATTAAAGGTAGGTAGAGGAATATGGTGCCTGGGTGGGAGAAAAAAAGCTTTGAGAGAAGGTATGTGGAGCTAGGTTGGGGGAGTGGAAGAGAGAGAAACAATTGGGGACAGAAATTGAAAGTCATGTTTCAGTGTTTACAGATGACACAAAACTATTGGGGATGAAATTGAATGTAGAAAAATGCAAAGTTATGCACTTTGAGAAAATAATGCACAAACAACTTACACCCTTACATGTCACTACTAATAGAAATACATAGCAAACACACATAAGCAAATGAGTCAGTTCGTGGCTTTAATAGGTCACTTTATTGTAATTAATCCAAGTTTATTTATTACAGTATTAACCCCTTCACTACTGAGCACTTTTTGATTGAATAAATATCAGCACAACATATATTAAAGCGAGTATACAGTGTCATTTATCTTGCAATCTTTCACACAGAGTCTGAAATATTAGTATAAAAGCAAAAAGGCAATTTTTCTCACACACATTGATTATAAGTATTTGTAAGGACCCTGAAAGAATTAGTAGAAGTAAAGCTTAAAATTGCAACAAAAACTTGTAAAAAAAATGTCTGCATTTGAGCATAATTCACCTCCAGGAGGCTGTCAGCAATGACAGTTTCCTCTTCTGTTCCAGACAAAATTGGCGCATGCACAGCAGTTTTGAACAGAGGGATTGTGGCCTTGCAAAAGGGTGGAATAGGGGTAGGGACAAGAAAAGAAGGAGGTGGAGGTTATGAAAACTGGCGTGAAAGAGTGCTGTCACTAGGGAGGGAGAGAAGGAAGTTACATTGGGGAGATTTACAATGAGATACTTTGTCAGCTGATACTCACACCGCTGCCTGCAAGAGAAGACGCTTATTACATCTGTCACCAGTGCGCAGATTGTACTGACGAGCAGGGCCGGCTCGTCCATAAGGCGGCACAAGCGGCGGCTTTAAGGCGCTTGAGCAGGAGGGTGCAAAAATCCGAATCCCCTGCCTCTGTCTGGGGACTCTGAGTTTTCAACTCACCTTACTCTCCCTGCAGCCAGTGGAATCGGCCGGCCCATCGTGATGATGTCAGGAGGAGGGGGCGTGACATCCACTGCTCTTCTCCCAGACCGCTGGGAGGTCTGGGAGAAGAGCAGTGTAAGTCGCGCCCCCTCCTCCTGACATCATCAGGAGAGTCCGGCCGACTTCACTGGCTGCAGGCTCCAGGCAGCCCCAGGCTGCAGATCCTGTCCCCCCCTCCCTGGCCCAATGTAAGCTTCAGGGAGGGGGTAATGTTTTTTTTTTTAAGCAGCCCCACCACAGCCCCTGTCCCCCTTCTTTACAGCCCATGTGCCAGCTCCTGCCCCCCATTTCAATTCCTGTCCCCCCTTTTAGCTCCTGTCCCCCGTCTACAGCCCCTGTGTCCCCCTCTATAGCAGCTGCCACCCCTCTCAGATCCTGACTCCCCCTATCAGACCCTGACACCGCTGACAGCCCCTGTACCCCCCCTCACAGCCCCTGTACCCCCTCACAGCCATTATCCCCTCTCACAGGATCTGTCCTCCCTCACAGCCCTTGTCTCCCCTCACAGTCCCGATCTCCCCTCTCAGCCCCTGGCCCCCTTCATCCTCTGTCCCCCTCTACAGCCCCTGTGTCCCCCTCTATGGCCCCTGTGTCCCCCTCTACAGCCCATGTGGTCCTCTCAGCTGCTGTCTGACCCTGTAAGCTCCTGTCCCCCTCTCATCCCCTGCCCCCTCTCTACAGCCAATGTGCCCCCCTCTATAGCAGCGGTCTACTCCCTCAGCTCTTGTATCTCCTCTGCCCCCCCCCCTAGCACCTGTTTCACCCTCTTAGCACCTGTCCCACCCTCACAGCTATTGTCCCCCCCTCACAGCCCCTGTCCCTCCCCTAGCAGCGCTCTCCAGAACAGCTGCCTAATATGTGTTTACCTAGGGTGCCACTAGCCTGGGGCACAAAAGCAGAAATGCTGCACTTAACAAATTGCTAATACCATGATCACTTCTAAAAGCAGAAGTGGTCGTAGTGATTGGAGTAATCCTTTAAGAATTAATTTGGTTAATTCTCCCTTTCCTTACGAGCTACAATGTATCCAATATGTTCATGATCTATTAAGTGAGTGTTTAGTTTGCTTTCATATATGTCAAAAATCAGAGTTGTATAACCATTGTCTCGGAGAGCTTCCTTCACAAGATCTTCATTATAGTTTAGGAAGGAAAACCTGTGATCACTAATTGTAATATAGGTGGCATTGAAAAAGCCAAACAGAATGAGGTGACCTCCCACCTTCAGCAGGGATGAGAATTTTCTAAAGTTGTTGAGATAACTGGCATGATCTTTACATGTGATATCAAAGTACCAGGCACTAATCGCACAGTCTGCTTGAGGCAGGACAATGGAACCCAGTGGATTGTCATTGGTGGGATCCCATTTTAAACAACGTTTCACAATTCTTCTGACTTTGTCTTCTTCAGCTTCCAATAGTTCACTGAAATGAAATGTATTCAATATGTTTTAATATCAGTAAAAAAATGATTAATGAAAGCTGATCACACTGATCTAGTGGTCATTCAATTCATTTTATATTTGGTCTTATGTTTGTTAGTTAAAAAACAAAGTACTTACCTTGAAAATACATTCTTGAGCTCTTTCTGTCCTCCTCGAGCGAATTTGACATCCACTTGTGTCTGACCTGTCTCCACTTTGTTGAGATTCTGAGTTGTTACAGGCAAACTGTAGGATTAAAATTAATAATTGCCGTAATTGTGAGATTTTTCATAGACATTTTGTCCAGAAACCCATTCATATTTCAGAGAGCCGTGTTGATAGGGTCTCAATTTAGTACCGCAAACAATTCAATTTTTTATAAATGGTTCAGTTTTTCACAGGCAAGTCAATGACAAGGCATATCTTTAATTTCACAGATTTTACCTAGTTTACATGGAAATGTCAAAAAGTTAAATTTATATATGTCAGTATTGATAATTAGAGTTGAGCAGACACCTGGATATTCGGGTTCGGCAGGTTCGGCCGAACTTCGAAAAAAAGTCCGGTTTCGGGATCGAACTTGACCCCGAATTTGATCCTAAACCCGAACCACATTGAAGTCAATGGGGACCCGAACTTTTGGGCACTAAAATGCCTCTAAAAAAGTCCTGGAAAGGGCTAGAGGGCTAGGACAAGTGGCCTGCAAACAAATGTGGATAGGAAAATCCCTTAAAATAACAGCCATAAAATAGCACCAGATGGAATCTTTGATTTTAGCTTTGGAAGAACATAAAGCAAAATCTAAAGCATGGCTGTCAGGAGGATCACCAGAATTATCAATTTGAGAGAGGGTTGGAGTGCAGGGTATTCTCTTTCATTGTCAAACTGAGCTCAACTCCTGATGCATGGAGAAAAGGCCTTCACAAGCCTCTGCTATTGTGCACATAGTTTATACTAAGTGACCCATAGGTTGAGGAGGTGGTGACCGTGGCGGTGTAGGTGGAAGCGGCGGTGGAGGAGGAGGCATCAAACACTGTTTTTTTATTTGTTTTTTTTAATTGGGGTAGCCCCCAAAATATTGTGACATATAAAAAAAAAAAAAACAGTTGTGCCCTGCGCTGCGGTGCAGTCCAATAAAGCCATCAGGTTTTTAAAACTGTCCGTCTCCACCAGACGGAATGACAGCATTTCAAAGGCCAGGAATTTTGAAATGCTGGCATTCAGGGCCAGGGATCGCGGGTGGGTAGGGGGGTACTTCCTCTTTCTCTCCAGTGTTTTGGAGATGGACAGTGTGGAGATGCTTGGGGACGGTGGCGGACGTGGTGGCGTTGCTGCCACATCCTCTGTTTGTGGGGTGGCAGGTGCCACTGTCACTCCAGAGGTGGAGGAAGAGGCCGAGACAGCAGCAGAAGAGGAAGCAGGAGGAGCCTGAGACCTTTCTTGGTTTTTGAGGTGCTTACTCCACTGCAGCTTGTGCTTTGCATGTAGATGCCTGGTCATGCAGGTTGTGCTCAGGTTTAGAATGTTTATGCCTCGCTTCAGGCTCTGATTGCATAGTGTGCAAACCACTCATGTCTTGTCATCAGCACATCGTCTGAAGAACTGCCACGCCATGGAACTTTTTGGAGCTGGCTTTGGTGTGCTCGGTCCCTGGGTGCGGTGGGCAGTAGCATGCGTACTGTCTAGGGGTCAGCCGCTCAGCATTTGCACCCTTCTCTAGGAGAAGGAGGTGACCGTGGTGGTGTAGGTGGAAGCGGTGGTGGAGGCGGAGGAGGTAGCCAACACTTTTTTTATTAGTTTTTTTGTTTTTTAATTGGGGTAGCCGCCAAAATATTGGGACATATCAAAAAAGAAACATTTGTGGCCTGCGGTGCATTTCTTGCAGTCCAATAACGCCATCAGGTTTTTAAAACTGTCCGTCTCCACCAGACAGAATGACAGTATTTCAAAGGCCACAAATTTTGAAATGCTGGCATTCAGGGCCAGGGATCGTGGGTAGGAGGGTACTTCCTCTTTCTCTCCAGTGTTTGGGAGATGAACAGCTGAACGCTTCCATGGGACAGTGTGGAGATGCTGGACAATTGTGTACCTGGCCTATGCTGGTGCAGGAACCCACCCTCCGAGCCACTTTTGAATGACTGGCCTGATAACCGTGGAAATTACACCTCTTCCTCCTCCTCTTCCTCCTGTGCCACATCCTCTTCCATCATCGCCCCAAATCTTTTTTCAAGGAGACATAGAAGCGGGATAGTAAGGCTGAGAACGGCATCAGCTGCACTGGCCATGTTGGTGGAGTCCTAGAAACAGCGCAACATGGCACACAGGTCTCGCATGGAGGCCCACTCATTGGTGGTGAAGTGGTGCTGTGGTGCAGAGCGACTGACCCGTGCATGCTGCAGCTGAAACGCTACTATCACCTGCTGCTGCTCGCACAGTCTCTCCAGCATGTGCAAGGTGGAGTTCTACCTTGTGGGCACATCGCATATGAAGCGATGAGAGGGAGGGCCAAAGTTACGCTGCAGCGCAGACAGGCGAGCAGCAGCAGGGTGAGAACGCCAAAAGCGCGCACAGATGGCCCGCACTTTCTGCAGCAGCTCTGATATATCTGGGTATACACCTTGGTGGTGTAGGTGGAAGCGGCGGCGGTGGAGGAGGAGGAGGTAGCCAAAAGAATAAGTGCACTTGAGTATAACAATGGCTGGGTGAGGCCGGTATAAATGTCTATTCTGCACAAGGTCAAGGACAAGTCTGGTGGGATCCATGCCTGGTTCATTTTAGTAAATGTGAGCTTGTCCACGTTGGCCACGTTGGGATCCATGCCTGGTTCATTTTAGTAAATGTGAGCTTGTCCACGTTGGCAGCTGCGCTTGTCTGTGATAACCTTGTGCCGATCGCACGTCCCCGTGACGGCGACAACGCATTCGGATGTCTGCCCTATCAACTTTCTATGCAATTTTCTGTGCCTACCATGATGACCACGGGTAACGGGGAATCAGGGTTCGATTTCAGAGAGGGAGCCTGAGAAACGGCTACCACATGCAAGGAAGGCAGCAGGCGCACAAATTACCTACTCCCGACGTGGGGAGGTAGTGACGACAAATAACAATACACTACTCTTTCGAGGCCCTGTAATTTTTATGAGTCCACTTTAAATCCTTAAACTTGGATCAATTGGAGGGCAAGTCTGGTGCAGAGCGACTGACCCATGCGTGCTGCAGCTGAAACTCCACTATCGCCTGCTGCTGCTCGCTGAAGCTGCATCAGTGTCCTGGTATGTGGCCGCACAAATGCTGGTGCCCAACACCAGGGGGCGTGCGTTTACCCTGCACCAGACCCTGCTAATCCATTCCACACTGTGACTCCTAACTTCAACATCAGGCATTCTGGGTCCCAGTTGTCCGACCACCGCCCAGACAGTGTCTGGGTCCCGGTCACTGGACTGCCCTCCTGACTGTGAAACTGTGAATGGCTCGTTAAATCTGTTATGCTTCCTTTTATCGCTCCATCTGTTACTTGGATAACTGTGGGAATTCTAAAGATAATACATGCCGACGAGTGCTAGGCGACGGCCGCTCCGCTTTTGCACCCTGCTCCCTCTTATGCTGTGCTGGTGCCTCTGTGCGACCAGCGCCTCTTCCTCCAAACTGCACACGTCACTCGCATGACCTTCATTCCACGTTGTTTTGTTGTTTGGTTTTTAACTTTGTAGTTGTGTCTTTACACAATATAGAAATGTATATTAATGCTTCTGTATATGAAGCGATCACAATAACATTTATTTTTCACTTTTTTAAAAAGTCTTTAGACTTTCTTGAGAAGCGGTAACTAACCAGTGTTGCACACATACACCAGATATGAAGTGCAGGCACCAAATTGACATTTTAGCAGCTAAAGAATTCGAATGTTTAAAAATGTGCTGTAAGCACAGTATTTAAGGGTTGTTTTTGACTCTTAGATATGAAGCGCACTGCAGGCCGCAAATGTACTATTTAGCAGCCAAAAAATTTGAATGTTTAAAACTGCTATTTCAAAGCACTATTTGACGGTTCTATTTGACTCTCAGATATGAAGTGCAGGCACCAAATTGACTTTTTAGCACCTAAAGAATTAGAATTTTTAAAACTGCAATGTAAGCACAATATTTGACGTTTCTATTTGACTCTCAGATATGAATATTAGCAAGAGTACATATAACAGAGACTAAGGGTGGTATTGCAGCAGGTATATATTAATGTAAATCCCTATGTGGGCTAAACAGAGAAATCATAAAGGGACCAATACCCTATACCCACAGATAGCCAGACCCAACAGTCTCAAAGTACCTGGAAAACAAAAAAATCAGTGTAGTTTCCCAATTAGACACTTCGTACTGTGCCTCTAATATGGCTATAACAGAACAGTATATTAGCCATATGGTTGTCTACTCAGCTGTTATATACTGACAGTCCATTAGAATCCCTATTAAAATAAAAATCAGCTAAAAAGCAGCATAGCAAAGCTCAACGCGTTTCGGCTCTTTGTTGGGCCTTTTTCAAGAGCTAAACAGAGTAAGAGTCAGCATGTGTTTAAAAAGTGTAAGGCCGCGCCACTCAGGACGTCAAACAGCCAATCACATCGCGATACGTCGGTCGTGGGAGGTTCTAAATTATATTATGTTAAAGAGATAGGCTGATTCATCCCGGTGGGCGGCAGTCAATAGACCCGCCCCACTATACTGTCAGGCGGCCAATCAGACAGATGCTCCGGCATAGTGGGCGCGGTACATGTAACTGATGATCGAAACAGCGAATCGTATCTTTAAAGGGGCGGAACATAAAATATTGAAACGCCCCCTATGTATACCATTTTCATTCTATATCAAAAACTTAGATAAATAAAGCAGAAAGTTTTATAAGTTATTGCTTTATTAAGAGAATATAGATTATACAATTTAAGCGCCAAATATTGGTAGGCAAAATGAAGTCTACATAAGCTGCTACTTTAAGAGTGCTAATGCATAACATATTATGCTTAATTAGAGCATAATGAAAAACAGTTACGGACTCAGGCTCGTTGTTTAAAGGTATATATAAATATATTTTCATACAGAAAATTGAAATTCAACTTAGTTAGATGTCCAGATTAAGCTGTTACCTTACCTTAAGAATGAAAATATGATTGTGTATCAGCGAATAAAGTGTAGTACATTGTGAATGGTATATTATAAAATAAATACAGCAGGAAGAGGTAAATTTTAAAGGAATGAATTTAAAGGGGTGAATTTTAATCCACCTCTTTTTTAACCCAAAAAAGGGGAAAAGGAAAATCCTTCGTTCAACCCTTTTAGACTAAGTATTTTAAGTTGGTAAATCCAAAAACACTCTCTCTGCCTAAGGAACTTGTCATAGTCCCCCCTCCTTACATTCTTTTTAACTAATTCCAGGCCGCAGAAACGTAACCCCTTGAAGTCGCCTCCGTGATAATCACGCAGGTGCCTTGATATTGGGTTATCTGTTAGATTCTTTGGAGATCTAATGTGTTCCTGGATTCGTTTTTTAAAAGGGCTGAAAGTTTTACCAACATATTTTCGATTACATTGGCAAGTCAGCAGATAAACAAGTCCTGCTGTATTGCAATTGAAAAAAAGAGGCTATCTCAAAAGATTACTGATTTTTTCCCCGACGTGCTGTAAGGTTAACAGAATGGGCCACTACCTTGTGTAGATGTTCATCACTAGTTAATAATGGCCAAAATCGTTTCAAAGAAGTTCTCACCTTTTCCCATCCAGCATCATATGTGGCTATCAATCTTATAGTTTTTGATGATGAAAATGTATCTGATCTATTAGGGGCAGATTTACTAAGCAATGTATTACTATCAGATTCCAAAGCCCTCTTAGAAGCCTGTTTAAGACACTTGTTGGGATAGCCTTTCTCTTTGAAAGTCTTTCTAAGGTCTCTAGCTTTTAAATGGAACTCCTCTAGATTGCTACAGTTCCGTCTCACTCGCAGGTACTGACCGGTAGGAATACCTTGCTTCAGAGGTGTAGGGTGAAAGCTATCCCATTTGAGGAGATTATTTGATGATGAAGGTTTTTTGTAAAGGTATTTTATTTGTTTCAGTAATTGAGATTGTCAAGTCCAGAAAATTCAAGCTAGTCCCACCAAACTCATTAAATTCATTAAACTCATCCCTATTGCCACACCACACAATAAACACGTTGTCTTATAGCGACGCCACCGAAAAATGAGGGGAAGATACTTAGAAATACTCTCAGAATGAGTCAAGTATTCCTCCCACCAACCTAGATGTAAATTGGCGTATGATGGGGCACAAGCTGTCCCCATCGCAGTGCCCCTTATCTGATGGTAAAATTTATTTCTAAATATGAAATAATTGTGTGTCAATATATATTCCAAAAAAGTGAGGCAAAAGTTGGAATGTAAAGATTTAGGCAAGAAATGCAGTACGCAAATGTACTATTCAGCACCCAAAAAATTGCAGTATTTAAAAATTCCTCGATGTTGCCCACTGAGCTACTAGAACAGGATTAAAGTCATGTGCCTGGCACACATGCAGTTGCATGTGCACTGCACTCTCTGTGGCATGGGGCTCAGGGCAGGGTACAAAAATGTAGTATAGCACCCACTAAAATAATCGCTGTAGTTTGAATAATCACTGTAGTTTGCAGATTCAACACCAGAATTCTTTCCTAAGCTGTCCCTCACAGCTGCAGCATCCTGTCCCTACACTAATAAGAGCTCATGTGACGTGCGGCGCTACGTGACTCCAGCTTATATATAGAGGCTGGGTCACATGTTGCACTGGCCAATCACAGCCATGCCATTAGTAGGCCTGGCTGTGATGGCTTTTAAGGGCAAACGAGTCAAACGCTTGTTGATTGGCTGCCCTGCAGCCTTTCAAAACGCGCCATTAAATCGCCGAACACCAAACTCAAACCCAAACATACACTTAAATGTCCATGTTCATATCCGGGGTCCAAAAACCGTAATGTTCGGTACGAACCGGAACTTTGCGGTTCGGGTTTGCTCAACTCTGTTGATAATGTATGTCCTGCTCTATCTATGCAGTAAATTAAAACATATTTATACTATTGTGAATCAGGTTTAAATATTTTGTTTTAACCAAACAATACAGTTTATACAATCTATTCTTATTGTAGATGTACTTATTGTGCTAAATAAGATTGCCTCTGGTTTATTCAATAAACATTGAATTGTAAATCTCTCCAAAGGTCTCCATAACTGCTCTTCTTACCAACAGCTGAAGCCTGGACGGATCCAAGCCAGGATCTTACAAAGAATTGGACTTAATACCCACAGTATTCAGCGCAACCTGGCTTTTGTGTTGTTTGCTTCGTTTCAGTAAGCTGTTGGGGGTATTCCTTACGTTCAGTGTTTGCAGCTTAATTTATTGTTTATATTAATTGATCCCTTAGCGCTTATCCTACATATTGTACTTGCTATATCCAGATTCTTAACTCACTTCCCCTAGGTGGACTTGTTTCTCATCCTTTTAAATTGTAAGCTCCTTCATCTCCGTGATCCTCACCTACTGTTCCTGCACATCAAATCTGTTTTGTAAGAAACAGCACAAAGCTAGTGCCTATCTGAACCAGCAAACCCTATTATCATTAGCAAAATAACTACTGAACTAAACAGTGCTCATAGTGCTACCCAAAGGTGTAAAATAAAAATGGGAAAAAATGAAACGCCCGACGCGTGTTTCGGCAAAACGTTAGGTGTATATAAAACAAATTTCAAACACTGCAGACTCACCTCAAACCCTTAATATCACATGACATTTCAGCGGCTTCTGACCAGTCTACAGCTCCTGGATCCTTATTTAGCCATTTTTTAGTTTCCTCTAGTGCTTTATCCGATGAATCTAAAATGGTGATCTCCTTGAAGAAGTCGGCCAAAACCATCAAATGACAAAAGGCTGCTCCAAGTGTGAGATCTATCAGAGTTTCTCCTTTCACAATACCTGTTGGAAAACAAATTAATAGACATGTTGTGGCAGAACAGACCTCACCACGTGTTCTTGGAGGGGGCTGCTTGCCCGCCTCCTACCTTCTGACTATGGCCCTGGGATATATGGCAACTGAAAACACTATTTGTGCCCTGTGACAAAACTGGAGATTGTGCACAAATATGACTATTGTCCATATTTTTTATGATTCCCTTCGTTTGTTGCATTGTTCCCCATGTGTTTCATCTGTTGGTTCAGCTGGATAGACTACCAGACAAACTGTGGAGCTACTGGGTGGCCACCATTTCATGTATCAGAGGCACATGGTGAGAACAATGAATGAAGCTCATGGTGAGAACAATGGATGGTGGCCATTTTAACTCACAGACACTGTTTTCACTTTTCTACACGGTGCCATCTCACCAGTATTTGGTGCACAAAGACATCGTTCAGTAGTTTTAAACTACAGAACAGGGGACACATTTAACAGTAATTATTTTTCATATAGCCTGTATATATTCTGCGGAATCTGCATTAAACCGTATCTTCCAAACTACTGAATGGATCTGGGTGAATTTTGGATATGTGGTTCACCCACATCCCCTGGTTCCGAGAATATATTTTTTATGGGGTTATTACATGTTTTGGGGTCCCTGTGATATGTTTTATAATATTGTATTCTCCTGCCTGTGATAATTAAGTTAGTCTATTGTGTTGAGATAATTGTTTCAAAGGCAGAGGGGAGGATTCCTGATGTAATGAATGGGAGTGTTAGCTGTGTTGTAATGTGTTGATTGGTTGTTCTTCAAAACCTTGTGGGTAGTACTATGTTTGTAGAATGTGAATAAAAGAGGCTGTATGTGTGAATTTCATCATGTAAGCAATGATAGCAATTTGAGGAAATTCTGGGGAGAGCTATAGTTCAGTTCATTCCCAGTGCCATACTTTCCTAATTAATCACTCCCAAGCCATTTTCACAAATTGGACCCTGTTTAGCTGGGTACACACCCAACTGATTCGCCACACAATACCACCCCAAATGTTTTTTTTCCCCAGCTAGCCTAATGTCTCTCTCTATCCTAATAATCTCCCTTCTAATTCTCATTTATCTATCTCCTTCTCTGTAAATGTCCCCATCACTTCCTTTGCATGTCTTCTTCATGTGCCTACATAAAGTGTATACATTTATTCTAGGCACTCCAGGAACTATAACAACTTGGGGTGTTGCTTTACTGGAGGCACCAAGACCAGAATATAAAAGCTGGCATAGGGGACACTGAACATACCTGAGGACAGAAACTGAAATATTTTCTGCATTGTAATTTTCACGAGTTCCTCTTTGGTATCTGTCTTATCACGACCAGCGTACGTGTCTATCAGGAGATGGTGATCAAACTCTTCATCGTGATAATGTTTATGTTTTCTTCCCTCCATCTCCAGACTTTTTTTTTTATCACAAATCGACTTAAAAATAAAAAGTGACCAGTAGTTTATGCAGAGAGAATATGTGAAAATGTTTGTCTGAAATACAACCACAAATTAGAAATATCTACGAATAGAAGACAAATAAAACATAGAGTAGTATTGCATACACACCAGTATATATCTTGTGGATTATTTTATTTACAAAAGTAATTTGCTTGTTGGCATACCTCCCAAAACTAAGTACATAAATTCTTTATATTTGCAACAAAACCCAGATATAAAACACACAAGTGGGATAAATGTGGGGATACAAGCAAATTAACCGTCAGTTTACCCTTGTCCATATAAAATTGTAGATAAAATAATACTCCTCTATATCTTCGAAAAAATACAAATACAACATCTAAGTATCTACAATAAAAAAAACAAAAAACACAACAGACACTTTTACAGTAAATTGCACTTACAAAGTAATGGTAGATAACAGACACATTACAATACCGCAGTGAAAATGTGCTTTAAAATCAGTGGTGATTCAGTGGGGTATAAACCCTTACTTTGTAAGTGCAATATATATTAAAGGTATGTTTTGACACACACTTTTACATTATGAGTTCCTTTTCATCTTCTCCTGAATAAAATCACTGAATTGGGAGTTAGAAAAACAAAGGTCCACCATTCATTATACTGTTTTGTCTGCAAGGAATTTGCATTTGTGAGTAAAATGTACCAGAGGTATGGTGTTTTGATTGAATTACACTATTGTTGGTTCTTTTTTTATTGTAGATAGATTTTGTAATTACATAAATTCTTCAGCCTTCTCACAATGGACTGAGCACAAAAGTAATTTGCTTGTAGGCATGTCTCCCAAAATTCAGTTTATTGGGAAAAGGCTGTACCCAGTTTTGGAAGATCACTTTTGTGAGTGAAATAATCCACAAGATATATATTGGTGTAAATGCAATACTACTCTATGTTCTATTTGTTTTTTATTTGTAAATATTTCTGTTTTGCGGTTGAATTTATAAAGATTTAGAGAAGTCTTGATTTATCAACATTACAAAGTGTATAAGGATAAAATATTATAATCACCAAATAAAAAAAAAGAATTATACTTAAGAGATAGTCCTATATTAAAATAAAATCTGTGAATTCATAGATTTTATTTTAAGAAGATGATCTGTTAAGACATTGTTAAATGTTTACATTCCAAAAAAGTGTAAAAATATTATTTACTGCAAATTCTGATAGGTCAGAAATAGAGAAACACATTTTACCTGATGTCTCTTGCTCTCCTCTTCAGCTGCATCTGAGATATTCAGCTACACGTATTTATTTATAACTATCGGTTCCCAAATACCAGTGGGTTGGATAGAATAAATATGATTAGAATAATTTTGTTTGACTAAGCTAAATAAAATATATAATTTTGTTGATTTTCCTTTTTATTTTCTGTATTAATTTGGAACTATCAGTTCCCACATACCTGTGGGTTGAATATAATCAGATTAGAATAATTTTATTTGCTGAAGCTGAATAGAATACATATTTTTGTTGTTTTTGCTTTATATTTACTGCTGATGGAGCTAAAGGGGATAACGTCCTACCACTATGTATCTCCCACATCCTACGTCAGTGCTCCTCAACCCTCTATGTATCTCCCACATCCTACGTCAGTGCTCCTCAACCCTCTATGTATCTCCCACATCCTACGTCAGTGCTCCTCAACCCTCTATGTATCTCCCACATCCTACGTCAGTGCTCCTCAACCCTCTATGTATCTCCCACATCCTACGTCAGTGCTCCTCAACCCTCTATGTATCTCCCACATCCTACGTCAGTGCTCCTCAACCCTCTATGTATCTCCCACATCCTACGTCAGTGCTCCTCAACCCTCTATGTATCTCCCACATCCTACGTCAGTGCTCCTCAACCCTCTCCTCAAGGCACACCTAACAGGTTAGGATTTAGGGATTACCTGGGTGTGTCTAAAGTGTTGCTGTGGAGGGTCCCTTAAATTGTTGTACTTATTTTCTATGTAGCCATGACTGTTAGATTAATTAAGCAGTGATTCCTAGTTCTCACTATCAACTTGCAAAATATTGTTCGAATGCTTTACTGTTATTACACAGTTGGATCCCTGAAGAAGTCCACAGCTATTGGTCGAAACATGTAGGACCATTTCTCTCACCACTAACTTGCTAAATTTAGATCAAAATAGCAAAGATTTATTTTTTTCAACTTTATTTTTTTTTTCTAAATTACATCTCAAATGCTAACTTACTAAACAAAATCACTACTTAGTAAACACAAAATTATGTCTAGGGTTGCCGACATATTATAATTATATATATATATATATGTATATATATATATTTTTTTATTTTTTTTTGTCAATCTTTCTTTTATTGAGGCATGTGGTTATGGTGGTACAGAATAAAGAGAGGGAGACTTGCAGGGGTTATACAGGTTAGGATCATCAGAACAAATTACAAAATCTCCTAGAATTATCAGCCTCATTTTATATTATATAAACAAGCTTAGAACATTGAGTTGTAAAAACAGGTGGACTGTAATATATGTCTTAGTTATTGTGATGAGAGCAATCTCGCCACATTGCATTGGAGGAGCCTGGTTGCCCGCCTGCTCCCTTTAGACTATGGACCGGACTTTTAAAATACTTTATTTTCCCTGCAGAAAGGCTTATTCATGAGGGTTCATTCCATGGCGTTGATGTCCGTTTCGTGTTCGCCATGCGGGTTGCGTTGCAGGCCGCCATTTTAGGTACTCCCTGTGAGGGCCTGCAGCTTTGCGCTTTAGGATTAATCTTGTGTGGTGTCTCGGCTGGTTGCTATAGGAGTCAAGTGGGGACTGGGATGACCCCCGCCAGTCCGGGGGGGGGGAGGAAGGAGGCGAGTGCTTTGAGGGGTTTTTACTTGGCTTTACCATCCAGGAGAGCGGCCGTCTCTTCCTGGCTCAGTCACAGGTAGGCCCCATATGCTTTGTACAGGTTCCCGGGCAGTGTAGGTCTCGGTTCATTAGATGCCCCAGGGTTTCCCCGACTTGTTGTGTGCCCTCCAGTTCGTGAACGTGTCTGTTTTCGGGGTATTTACCCCCAGTTTAGTCGCTTTTGTGCAGGAGCTGATTCACAGCACGTCTGACCTGCTCAGCATTTAGGCTCCGCCCCCTATAATTATATATTTTTTATCGTTTTGTATTTTTGCTGTGCTTGGAGGCAGAACAGACAGGCGTGAGGTACTCCAACGGCAATCCTTAGGCATATAATTTTGCAGTAAATTGAGGTTATAGAGAAGACATGCACATTTTTTTTTACCATAAAGTAAACACACCCATGTGATCTGTACAGCTGTGAAACATGCTAGGCTAGGTAATGTTTAAGTAAAGACGCTAAACTACGCATAGTGAATAATAATACAATGCTTGTTGCTAGAGAATAGGCTTGCCTATACGAGCATCTGGTGTAAGAGGTATCCCCTGGAACTATGTTGACATGAGCACCATGCCTTACTAAAAGTAGGTCATATAAGGGCAAGTTGGTAGGTAAGTTGTGGCTAGGGCTTAGTGTCAAGAAAATTGTAAATTAAGAGTTAACTCTGGTAAACATAAATTTGTGAAACATGCTCAGGAACTGCTGGAGGACAACTCCAAAATCGTGGGCACACGGTTAAATTCGGGTCATCTACTGGAGACGTGAGTGTTCAGCTTTATGCTGTCAGGCTGTCCCCCATGCAGAGATGCTTTACCCGACTCCCTGACTGGTCACTGCTAGGAGGTTGTAGCTAATCGGTCAGGCTGGGCCCCATGTGTAGGATACTCCTCTGTTCCCAGACCCTGTTGGAGCCTGGGGCTCGTGTAGCAGGGCAGTGCTTAGAGGTAGCGGCACGTTGGGAGTGAGGTAAGTTCACCCTCCAGCCCCAGGCTGGTATAGACATCCTCAGTCCACGGACTCGGTATACTGGATGGGCCGAGTTCCTCCTGGGTCAAGAGTAGCGGGGGATCCCGATGGTCAGCCACCGTTCACGGTGGTGGGCACTCCGTCGCTGTGGGTGATGTCTCTGGATCAATCCCTTGTTGGCCCTTGGCCCAGGCGGGGAGTACGGGCAATTGTGTGAAAGCTAGGCCCGAGGGAGTTTCACGCACTCTCCAGCTCTCACCCCTCCAAACATCCACCTGTGATTTGGGCGGCAACATTGCTTGGCAGTTCTCCAGAGCATCCCAGAAGCACTTAAAGTGCTTGTCGAGCCATTGTAGCCTCTCCAAGATAAGACGCCCCCACCATCTTGAGGGAGTCCACTGTGTTTAGAGCGTAGAACCAGCTAAGCCTTTAAAGCGTGGCTAGGCCCTGGCTCGGGTGAGAAGGTAGGGGCCTTGCAATCAGATCTATTCAATCCAGTGGGGACCGGGATGACCCCAGCCGGTCCAAGGGGGGGGGGGGGTAGGAGCGATTTAGAACTGTTCAGTTGCTGATGCACGGGAAGATCGGCTGCCTCTCCCCAGCTCTGTTACACCAGTGGATCTTCAGCCCCTGGTGAGGGTCAGACTTTGGTAAAGTCTCGGGCTGTTGCGCTGGAGCCCCCTGAAGGTATTTAAGCCTTTCAGTGGGTGAAAATGCAGGTTGGCCAGGGTTAAACTCCAGAAATCAGCATAGTTTGTGGGAGCTCGGGACCCACACGTCTGCTCCACTTGACAGCTAGGCTCCGTCCCCGTTATTTGTTTCTTGATACAAGATATATAGATTTGAGATCTGATCAATATTTTTAGATATAACGATATAACGAGAAATACAAAATTGACAGACTGTATTTAATTTGCTAGTGCTCAAATGTGTTTTCACTATAGTAGATTTTAGAATTAACTTGATTCATTATGCCTTCACTTAAAAGATCCAAAATACATAATTAAATGAGTGTTTAGTTTGCTTTTTATATGGTTCAAAGCCAGAATGGTATATCAAGGATTAGGATTTTCAAATTTAGGTCTGAAGACAAATCTAATTTAACAAACCAAAAACAAATAAAACATGCAAACTCAGAACAATTTTATTTTTAATTTTACTTTCAGAAGACTTTTTCACAACTGTAAAAGCAGAAGTAGTCATGGTGATTGAAGTAATCCTTTAAGAATTAATTTGATTAAATCTCTCTTTCCATACGAGCTACAATGTACTCAGTTTGTTTATAATCTACTAAATCAGTGTTTAATTTGCTTTCATACACTTCACAAATCACAGTGGTAAACCCATTGTCTTGGAGAACTTCCTTCACAAACTGTTCATTATAGTTTAACATGGAAAACCTGTGATCACCAATTGTATAATAGGTCCCATTGAAAAGGGCAAACAGAATGACATGACCTCCCACCTTCACAAGGGATAAGAATTTTTTAAAGCTGTTGCGATAACTTTCATGATCTTTACAGGCACCGTCAAAGTAATAGATGCTGACCGCACAGTCTGCTTGAGGCAGTACGATGGAACCCAATGGATTGTCATTGGTGGGATCCCATTTTAAACAACGTTTGACAATTCTTCTGACTTTCTCTTCCTCAGCTTTCAAGTGTTCCCTGAAATTCAATAGTTGTGATATCATAAAAACTGTCAAAGTGTTTAGTAAACGCATTCATCCAGTTGTCAAATTATGTTTGTTTTTTTTTAAAAAAATGAATGAAAACAAGTGCATGCGTGAAAAAAAAGTTACCTTGAAATACTGCTGCTGTGCTCCTCCTGGCAACTGTAAGAGGAAACATCAAAAAATTTAAATGTTATGTTTGTCTTTTCCAAGACTACATGTATGCAACCCTGAAGGACCATGGTGCTTCATGGTGAATTTAAAATGAATTTAAGGTAAATTTCAAATTTAAGTTTAAAATATCCAGACTGGAAAGATTATCCGTGTCAGCTATCCTTCAGTACAATTTTTTTAGCTTAAAAAATGTAATTCCCTTTGAATTTACACCTTAGTGAATAACCCTGTAAGTATTCAAAGTAACACTCCAAACACATAATGCACTTGGGCTTACAAAGTGTTTTGTGTGTGAAGGATATGACCTCTTTTTCTTATTTTACAAAAGTGCTGATTTCAATATAAATGAACATTGTTACTCCCCAAGGGCTGTCGGATAGCAGGTCATGTTAGCTCAGGGGTGCAAAACTTGAGAGGCAGCAATACAATTGATAGAAAGACCGAGTTGGGGAAGAAGAGGGGAGTGGAAGGGGCTGGCAGGAGCTGCAGATACTAGATCTGCAACTATTGCAACTAAAAATTTTATATACACCAAAGAAATCATGCAAAACAAATTACATGCACATTTTCTTAGGGATATATCTACTAAATAGATTTGTTTTTGTTTTTAATGGAGCATACCTTCAAGGATTCCGATGTTTTAAGGGAATGTAGTCTTGCAATAGATGGGGATCTGAAATAAAGAGATAATATTTTTATGTAGAGGAAGGGTAGGCATTGGAAACTTTTCTCATTCTAAATGTTGTGAACTACATTTCCCCTGAAGCTTTGGCAGCATTATGGAGATATAGCCAAGAACAACTGGAGTGTCAAAGGCTGCCTACCTATGTTCTATATGAACCACATGGAATTTCTTTGCTGTGCCTGGACAACACAATAGTCAATGAAAGCAGTTGTTATTGATTTTATTTAGTGTGCTAGCAATTAATAAGGGATTTCATAACTATTGAAAGCAGCACTTTTCCCCCCCACCATGAATGAAATATTCACTCTGAATTCTGAATTTCACTGAAATGCCAACCCAGTCAAGAGATATACAGAAACAAAGTACGGACTACTTTGTCTCTGTATTTCTCCTTCACTTAACTTTCTTAGACTCAGGGCAGAGTCGAAGTGTCAGTCCCAACAGCCATCACCAGTTATGGCTGCAGGGAGTTGGCTGTGTCTAGGGAGGATATCGCTGTCTCGCAGGAACCTCCATAGATCTCAATTCAATACACTCGCACATGCGAGATAGTACAGCAGAGACATCGGCTTCCAAGAGGACCCACTAAATTAAGATGACCGCGCACATGAGGGACAGGTTCAGGTAAGTAAATCTCACCCTTACCTGTCCCTCCTGGCCACCAGACCCCAGCTTTGATGTCACTGCCAGGGGTCTTTTCAAATTCAGCAAAGTCCACAGACTGTGACAGTGCTGCTTTAATATATGACTTACACTAGATCAAAAGCTCAGATTCCATCTATATTGAATATTGCAGCTATATTTGCTTCCCTAGAAATAGTTTTCCGCATAGTAAAATACTAAATTCAATGCTTTATTATGGGCGTTTGCATCATGGGACAGCTACTAGAGGTGGATTTAACCCTGCAATCGATATAACCCTGCAATACAAACATCATAGTTTCTATAAACTGCAATGCTTTATATTGAAGGGTTAAAAGGACAGGGCCACCACACCCAGATTACGTCATTGAGGATGTAGTGGTCTGGGTCCCTTTAGAATACACAAAGCAACATTTATCTAACCCAGCAGACTTACCTCACACCCTTAATTTCACATGAAATGTGAGCTGCATGAGACCAGTCTACAGCTCCTGGCTCCTTATTCAGCCATTTTTCAGTTTCCTTGAGCGAACTGTCTGATGAGTCCAATATGAAGATCTCCTTAAAGAAATCAGCTGCGACCATTAAATGACCGAAGGCTGGAGCAATGGTGAGATCTATCAGAGTTTCTCCTTTCACGGTACCTGAAGGAAAACAACGGGAAACTGCAACTTCTCAAGATACAAATCAGATGTAAATATTTCAATGTTCTCAAAGATCGATAGAGGATCCAGCAGTCTTGCAGTATCTCCCTTATACCTCCATTTTATGTACACATTCATATGCAAGAGTAAAAAAAACTAAGAGCCCCTGGTGGAATCATTAATCAGGAACTGATTAACCAGAGGGTGTCAGTGGAGGGCGAGAGCTTTAGATATGTATATCTCCCTTCCAACTCTCCTACAGGCATTATTAGGCAAGCTAGGGGCAGTCTTAACCCTGATATGTACTTATTGCAATTTCTCAGAAACTGCATTAATTAATATTGCAGGCTTAAGGAGACAGTGACATTGCATCCAGACCATTTCAATGAGATGAAGTAGTCTGGGTGCCTATAGCGCCCCTTTCAGGAAATACAAAGACCTTACAAGTGACAGAGCCTCTTTAATACAGATGTAACTGACAAAAAAAGCAATAAAAGGAATTAAACATGAACATACCTGAGGACAATACCTCAAATAATTTTTGCTGTGGCATTTTCATCAGTTCCTCTTTGGAATCTGTTTTATCATGACCAGCGTAGGTTTCTACCAGTAGATGGTGATCACACTCTTCATCGTGATAATGTTTAAGGTCAATTCCTTCCATCTCGAGTTTTTATTTTCAGGAATCAATTTACTAGCAAAGAAAGAGAAAATCTATGGCTATTTATACACAAATATGTAATATCTCAATACTGATATGTTCCTGCAATATGTTTCTCAAGGTTTCTAGTTCCAGTGTAGCTCTCTACGTTTTCATTTTCTATTGTAGCCTTGCTTTTGTAATTAGATTTTTTAATTAATCACAGTTCAGTGTTTAGTGGATAGAGACCAGCTGTAGCACATTTCCTTGATTTATTTGATTATTTATTGTATTACAACTTAATTATATATTACAAAATATATTAAAACTGATGGGAGCACTAATAAGGCATTCAAAACGGTTAAAAACAGGAAATAAACTCCGAATGATGTGCTCAGAATTAAGAGATAGTCATATTAAAATAAAATCTGTGAATTCATAAATTTTATTTTAAGAAGACAATCTGTAAACATTTTTAAAGGTTTACATTCTAAAAAAGTGTAAAAATATAATTTACTTGAAATTCTGATTCAAGTCATAAAAAGAGAAAACACGTTTTACCTGATTATTCTCGCTTTCCTCTTCAGCCGCTTTTGAGATATTCAGCTACACGTATCAATTTATAACTATCGTTTCACAAATACCAGTGGGTTGGATAGAATCCGCTTAGAATAATTTTATTTGACTAATATGAGTAGAATATATAATTTTGTTGTTTATTCTTTTTATTTGCTGTATTCATTTATAACGATCGGTTCCAACATACCAGTGGGTTGAATATAATCAGATTAGAATAATTCTATTTAGAAACATAGAATGTGACGGCAGATAAGAACCATTCGGCCCATTTAGTCTGCCCAATTTTCTAAATACTTTCATTAGTCCCTAGTCTTATCTTATAGTTAGTATAGCCTTATGCCTATCCCACGCATGCTTAAACTCCTTTACTGTGTTAACCTCTACCACTTCAGCTGGAAGGCTATTCCATGCATCCACTACCCTCTCAGTAAAGTAATACTTCCTGTTATTATTTTTAAACCTTTGTCCCTCTAATTTAAGACTACGTCCTCTTGTTGTGGTAGTTTTTCTTCTTTTAAATATAGTCTCCTCCTTTACTGTGTTGATTCTATGTATTTAAATGTTTCTATCATATCCCTCCGTCTCGTCTTTCCTCCAAGCTATACATGTTAAGATCCTTTAACCTTTCCTTGTAAATTTCATCCTGCAATCCATGAACCAGTTTAGTAGCCCTTCTCTGAACTCTCTCTAAAGTATCAATATCCTTCTGAAGATACAGTCTCCAGTACTGCGTACAATACTCTAAGTGAGGTCTCATCAGTGTTCTGTACAATGGCATGAGCACTTCCCTCTTTCTACTGCTAATACTTCTCTCTATACAACCAAGCATTCTGCTAGCATTTCCTGCTGCTCTATTACATGGTCTGCCTACCTTTAAGTCATCAGAAATAATTTCCCCTAAATCCCTTTCTTCAGATGTTGAGGTTAGGACTCTATCAAATGTTCTGTACTCTGCCCTTGGGTTTTTACGTCCAAGATGCATTATCTTGCACTTATCCACATTAAATGTCAGTTGCCACTGTCAAAGCTAAATGGAATATATAATTTTGTTGATTTTCCTTTTTATTTACTGCTGATGGAAATAAAGTGGATAATGTCCTACCACAATGTACCTCTCGTATCCTAGATCAGTGCTCCTCAACATTCTCCTCAAGGCACACCTAACAGTCCAGGATTTATGGGTTACCTGTGTGTGTCTAAGGTGTTTAAAGAAAGCTAAAAATGCATTAGACTCTAAGTTTTTTTTCTTTTCTTTTTCTAAACACCTTAGACACACATGGGCAATCCCTACATCTTGGATTGTTAGTTGTGCCTTGAGGAGAGGGTTGAAGAGCACTGTCGTAGGTTATTAAATGTAAAAAAAAATAACATTCTCTCTCTGAGTGCTGAAATTGAAGTGATTCTTGCTTCTATCACCAGCCCGTTCAAAGAATCTATCAATGACGGCTCATGTCTTCACAATATGAGCGCACGGCCAGTCCTTGGATTGATCCATACTCTAGATCAGTGATTCCCAACCCATTCGTCAAGTACCCCCTAACAGTCCAGGATTTAGGGATTACCCAGTTGTGTCTAACCTTTTTTTAGAAGGAAACAAACACCCTAGACACAACAGGGTAATCTCTAAATTCTGGACTGGTAGGAGGTACTTGAAGACTGGGTTGGGGACCTCTGTTCTACAGTAGATGGTATATTTTTTTTCACATTTAATTAATTCTCTAGATTTATTGATAAGAATATAATGAGAGGAATAGCTTAATCAGTTATCTTTATATTATTAAATTGTATATATCTACATTTCTTTTTTTTTTTTATTATTCTTTGTTAGTTCAATTCTCTAAACTTTAAAATTTTAATGCTTACCTCACTTGTTTTATACTGTTAGCATACTCTAATTCAAAATAAATATTTTTAGCTGCGTGATAAAATCTTTCTGCTAAGACCAAACATAAAACTCCCCGCAGTACAAGCAGAAACAGACGTCACCTGGCATTTCTACAGATGCCTGTAGCAAGGAATGTGATTTTAAACACAGGTTTTTGTATTTTTTTAGCCATAGCATTAAAAAAAATCCTGTTACTTCCTGGTTGGTTAGCTCAGTGGAGCTAAACTCAAGAGGCAGCAATTGCCCAGAGCAGCCTGCCTTGCAAAGACTTCCCATTGAACTGCATTGGGAAGTCTGTGATTGGACAGCCACAGAGAGTCTGGGCGGGGTTAGAAGGGGATGGCTTGTAAAGGCAGCATACATGAGATCTACAGCTTTTACAAGCTGGTTTTAGATATACCCAAATTAAAAAAAAAAAAATTCATGAATGTTTGCATGTGGAATATGATTACTAAACAGTGATTTTTTGTGTGTGTTTTTGTGCTGTGGAGGGACCCTTAAACAT